TTTTCAACCCGCCTCAAATTATTGAATAAGTGACAGGTGTATGTCACGCTGTTACACGCGTGTTCTACTAGAGTCGCGGGCTGGGGTGGGCGGTGTGTCGTGTGTTCTACTAGAGTCGCGGGCGGTGTGTCGTGTGTTCTACTAGAGTCGCGGGCTGGGCGGTGTGTCGTGTGTTCTACTAGAGTCGCGGGCTGGGGTGGACGGTGTGTCGTGTGTTCTACTAGAGTCGCGGGCTGGGGTGGACGGTGTGTTGTGTGTTCTACTAGAGTCGCGGGCTGGGGTGGGCGGTGTGTCGTGTGTTCTACTAGAGTCGCGGGCTGGGGTGGGCGGTGTGTCGTGTGTTCTACTAGTCGCTGGGTGGGTGACGGACGGTGTGTCGTGTGTTCAACTAGTCGCGGGCTGAGGGTGGACGGTGTGTCGTGTGTTCAACTAGTCGCGGGCTGAGGGTGGACGGTGTGTCGTGTGTTCAACTAGTCGCTGGGTGGGTGATGGACGGTGTGTCGTGTGTTCTACTAGAGTCGCGGGCTGGGGTGGGCGGTGTGTCGTGTGTTCAACTAGTCGCTGGGTGGGTGATGGACGGTGTGTCGTGTGTTCTACTAGAGTCGCGGAGTGGGCGGTGTGTCGTGTGTTCTACTAGTCGCTGGGTGGGTGATGGACGGTGTGTCGTGTGTTCTACTAGAGTCGCGGAGTGGGCGGTGTGTCGTGTGTTCTACTAGAGTCGCGGGTTGGGCTGGGCGGTGTGTCGTGTGTTCAACTAGTCGCTGGGTGGGTGATGGACGGTGTGTCGTGTGTTCTACTAGAGTCGCGGGTTGGGGTGGGCGGTGTGTCGTGTGTTCTACTAGTCGCTGGGTGGGTAATGGACGGTGTGTCGTGTGTTCTACTAGAGTCGCGGAGTGGGCGGTGTGTCGTGTGTTCTACTAGAGTCGCGGGTTGGGGTGGGCGGTGTGTCGCGTGTTCAACTAGTCGCTGGGTGGGTAATGGACGGTGTGTCGTGTGTTCTACTAGTCGCGGGCTGAGGGTGGGCGGTGTGTCGTGTGTTCTACTAGTCGCGGGCTGAGGGTGGGCGGTGTGTCGTGTGTTCTACTAGTCGCGGGCTGAGGGTGGGCGGTGTGTCGTGTGTTCTACTAGTCGCGGGCTGAGGGTGGGCGGTGTGTCGCGAGACCGTTCTGTCCCTGGTCGTGGGTGTGAGGAATAAAGGAGAAAAGTCACGGGGAAAATAAAGTCACGGGGATAAAAAACAAAAAAGTCACTGACAACTCCACACACACCAACACAAATTTACATACACGCCTACATAACACTCCAACACAAATGTACATACACTCCTACACAACTCCACATACTCGCCTACATATATGTATATTGCAGGCGACAGACGAGACCTAGCCTATATGACGACACCTCGCCTGTAAGACGACATGCCGACCAACGAGTACGTACTAACCTGTAAAGCAGAGGAGTGTAACCAGGCCAGTACACACCGTGTACACAACTTTAACGGGGGGGGGGGGGGGGGGGCCAGCACACACCGTGTACACAACTTTAACAAAACTCACCAATTTTCATGGGGGAAAAACACGAATATTTGCCGGAAATCGAACGTATGAGTATTGCCAAGTGCTAAATCAGTAAATGACATCACCCACTTTGGTTACCAAATGACAACATTCATTTAGACTACCAATTGACATTCAGAACTAAATGACAAAACGAGGAGGTGCCAGTGAACCCATGTAAATGTAACTGCTCGCACACTAACATTACTAACAACAATATATTATTATATTTAGAACGACTCCCCCCCCCCCCCCCCCAATTGCATTGGAAATGGTTTGACTTTTACTTTCAAATGTCAGCATGTTACTTCAAGCTTATGAGAAATCCATTTTAAAAAAAACACCCTATGACAAAATCTTGTCTGTGTTACTGGTCTAGTCGACCTCAGCACAGTCATGTGTCTGTACACTACCCTTGACGTGCTCTATGCCTAGATCTATTCTAGATCCGATAGATTCTAGATGTGCTGAAACCAATCAACACGGAGTCAAGGAGTGAACCGCCTGAACACTGAGCAACTTAAATTACTAAATAATTACTTAGGCTAGTGGCGTGCACACATTATGCAAGTCTATTTAATAGTATATATGCCAGTGTATGTCATAATATAGAATAGTTGTATTGTATGTTATTAGGCCTATTGTTTAGAGTTTTTCAGGCATCTCCTTGGGGGGGGGGCTATGTGAGGTGTGTAGGCTTTATTTTTTAAGCCACAGATCTAATATACTTCATTGTAGATCTAGATCTAGTCAATATACAGATCTAGAATGTGACCTCTATATTATCATTATTAAGGCCTAATTATTAACACAAGCTAAAACACATACAAAGCCGCAACAAAGCAGACGCAGCACATGAAATAAAACGACCACAGTCCACACACTAGCACACAATAATTCACAAATGATAGATCTAGAGCTAGATCTATCAGTTCAAAAATAAAACTGCTTAGGCTATTTAAATTTATTTAGAATCTATTATTTATTAGGCCCTACCCATAATCTTAGAATAATCTAGATCTTACTACTCTATACATACTACATAGAATATTAGAATCTAGATCTAAATTCTAGATTTAGGTAGGCTATTATTATTATTTTCAAGTTTGTAGGCCTATTATTTATTAATTTCACAAATATTGAAATAAGTACCCTTCCTTGTAGATCGTCTCCTGGCTGAGATGGCGGGATGACCTCTGACCCTGAAACGTCACTCGTCGTTTTTTTCGTTTTTTTCGTTTTTTTTAGGGGTCCGTTACACGACAAATGAAAAAACTGCTAATATCGCAAAATCTCATCATTATTTTAATGTGAGATGCTAACTAAATGGACGCCATGCCTTAAAATGTTCGAAATATTCACGAGATACGTGGTTTTAATTAATACACGCTATTTTTGTCGAGTACTCTTGGGAAAAACTGAACTGCCGCCTTAAACGGCCCAGTACATGGTCGAAACCCCCTGGTACAAATGCAGAAATATATAATTGAGATATTTATAATGATTAATTACAGATATGTTGATACATTTTTTAAAAATCGAATATGAGGATGAGGTACCCATGCAGAAATTTCTGTCCGCTTTGTTTACTATCGTGACGTCATTGTTACGCTAGTTACCTCACAGAAACAACTAGTTTTTGTTTTTTGCGGAATGAACCTTTAAGTCTAGTATTTTAATTATAATTCAACTGTAGCGTGTGCAGAAAAAGTAAAATTGTGGAAATTATTATTGTATTAGTAATTTTATTAAAATATGGCCTATATTGATTTTTTTTTCTTCACTGTTGGCCGACAGTAGCTGCATTGAATTTAATTCGTGACCGGTGGTTAACCTCGTCAACGCTGCGTGGCCTATTCGTTTATATCAGGGGTCTCCATACTTTTCAGCCTGAGGGCCGCATTAACCATCAAATATAAGTTCGGGGGCCAGAGTTTCTTCCAGTCATCTCATTCGGGTGGCATTTTACCTCAGCCACCTACAACAAACATTTTTTTCCGTGGACTAAAAGATCTCCAAGGGCCGGATGAGATGACCTCGCGGGCCGCATGCGGCCCGCGGGCCGTAGTTTGGAGACCCCTGGTTTATATAATCAGTGATGCTCGTTCAGTGGCCTTTTTCAGAGCTAGGCCTAATTTCGGGCGATTTTTAGACTTATTTGATAGGCCGTTAGCCTTTTTCATTGCTGCGTATTTTAAACAATGCTTGTTCAGCGGCCTTTTTTTTTTTTTGGCGCTAAATAATCTGTTTACGGGCATTTTAAGCGTTTATGTGTTTATTATTTTTAAAGCTAGACGTAGATCTAGTTTAAAAAAATGTGCGCGAGCATCATTTTCGTTTGTTAAAATTACAATTGGTTTAAGTTCAGGATGGAGATCTTTTATCGTTTTTTTTTCTTGACAGATTTTATCAAGATAGATCGACTTCAAGTTGATATTGAATATTTAAATTACTTTACCTTACTACATTAAACTACATTTGCTTTATCTTTTAAGAGAGTAGACAAAAAAAATTAAGCTAAGTTTTAAAATTAGTCTTAGTTTTGTATCCATTCGGCTCTACTCTATTATAATTTGCTTGAAGAAGGGGGGGGGGGGGGGAAGAGAGAGAGAGAAGTGAAGACACCGACGATCTCGTGTACGCGTGTTCATTCTATGACGTGTACTACAGGCCTGCTGACCGCACAGTGACCCCTCGACCGTGGTGGGATTTTTCACCGCGGGATAGTAAACATAAGCAAGCAATCATGCGAGTGACGATGTTTGGAGATTTTATTAAAAAAAAATTACACGTCACGTTTTCAATATGAAAAAAATGTAATGTAAAAAAAAAAAGACACTAATACCGTGTATGAACTTCAGCTTCCACACTGTTGACTCAATATAATGTGAATTGAGTTAGGCCTATTTCTTGTATTTATAGACTATCATAACAATCATATTATTTTAAGCATATTTAATAAAATTAGAATTTGAAATAAAAATATTTTTTATGGTAATTTGAGTTATGCAAGTGTTCATTATTTCATAAAAAATGGTATGAATAACATGTAGAGTAGAATTTGTAATGTACATTTTCCTTTACCAATTTCATAAATAACTAGATCTAGTTTTATTATCAATCAGTTGGTTTTTTTTTTTGTTATTTTCCGGTGAGTAAATAACCTAAGTTGACACACCCCTTAAAAAACTTGTGCACACCAGTTCACGACGTCATGCCATGCCGGCAGGGATCGAGAACGTGGGTTTTGTCATTCATTTTCCATTCTAGACAAATTTTAAAATTCTCTCTTTTCTCGTCAACTGAGTAAGCTAGATATTTAAATGTGGTGTCAAATGTTCTCTTAAGGGGTAAGGAACTTAATAGTGTATTTGAAATAACAGAATATTTTATTTAAAAAAATCCATAATTAAACCTACTTCCTTGTTCTGATGTTCAACTTACCCAAAATAAGAAATTAAAAGCGAACATCAAATACTTGATGCATGTGTAGCAACTGCCTAATGCCATTTCTTAAATTTTGATTAATATAATCCGCAAAAATATAGAAAACACACAAGATCTAGACTCTCTACTTAAGATTTAAATCTGAAGGGTTGAATTTGTGAAATGTGTTGGGCTAGGCTATTCTTAAAATCTACACATCCAAAACACAGTAAGCTCCAATCAGAATTCTTCCAAGGCTTGTTTCCGTAACACACTCTCGTCTGGCCTAGAGTGCATCACTCGCGTTCAAGGGTAACCAGTTTTACAATCTGCCCCAATTTAACGCTATACGTAACTAAATTATATATAAGGGTATTGCTATAAAACTAAAGTATTTAATATTTGTAATATATATTTTGAAATAATTTAACATGTTCATCTAAATTTATGTGCAAATAATTTATTTGAAGGTGGCTCTAGTGCAAGATTCATAAACCATTTTTATTAAAAAGAATAATTAAATAACGTACATAATATTTAGGCGTCGTCCATAAATGGAGTAACATTCCTGGTCGGGGAGGGGGGGGGGGGTCAGTCGGACGCAGAGGCGTAGCGATCTATTCCGGCGACGGGGGCGGACTATCATTTTTGCGCCCCCTCCCTCCCAGTTCTATATTTATACTCCTGTCTGAAAAAAGCGCACTCCCCCATCTGTTGGAAAGGTTTGTGGCGCTTCTTACCAGTTACTATACCGTAACATTTTCTATGTTGGGGGCCACTAAATTGATACAGAAAACAGTTGAATCAGTGTAAAGTCTTGTAGTCGTTTATTTTCGTAAGTTTCAATGTATATATTGCAATGCTTCAGCTTTTAAATTAATTTCTTTACCCCTTTTGGCGCCCTCTTAGGGTCGGCGCCCGTGCAGCCGCCCCACCCGCCCTCCCCTAGCTACGCCATTGGTCGGACGTTTTGAGATTGTGTGGCGAATATTATGAGTTACGAAAGTTTAACGTAATATTTTATATTTTAAAAGTTTTTGTTTTGAAATGAGTTATACAATATGTTTTGTTAAATTTAATAAATTAGAGCAATGTACCTACATTTGTCCCGGATTTTCTAACATTTTTAGTGATTAGCGATGATTTTGGGCAACATTTTTCAAGAGATAAACAACTCAATTCATATTATGAGAAAAAAAAATGAAATTGTGGGGTGGAGAGGGTTGGCTGGTGGAGTTTTGTTGGATGACGTAAGCTTGATGTTATCAATGGACTAACCCCTAATAGGATGCAAAACACTTTATATTTTGTTTATGTTTTCTTTATGTTTTTTATGTTATGTTTATGTTATGTTTATGTTATGTTTATGTTATGTTTATGTTATGTTTTGTTTATGTTTTGTTTATGTTTTGTTTATGTTTTGTTTATGTTTTGTTTATGTTTTGTTTATGTTTATGTTTTGTTTATGTTTTGTTTATGTTTTGTTTATGTTTTGTTTATGTTTTGTTTATGTTTTGTTTATGTTTTGTTTATGTTTTGTTTATGTTTTGTTTATGTTTTGTTTATGTTTTGTTTATGTTTTGTTTATGTTTTGTTTATGTTTTGTTTATGTTTTGTTTATGTTTTGTTTATGTTTTGTTTATGTTTTGTTTATGTTTTGTTTATGTTTTGTTTATGTTTTGTTTATGTTTTGTTTATGTTTTGTTTATGTTTTGTTAATGTTTTGTTTATGTTTTGTTTATGTTTTGTTTATGTTTTGTTTATGTTTTGTTTATGTTTTGTTTATGTTTTGTTTATGTTTTGTTTATGTTTTGTTTATGTTTTGTTTATGTTTTGTTTATGTTTTGTTTATGTTTTGTTTATGTTTTTTATGTTATGTTTGTGTGTTGTTTATGTTTTGTTTATGTTTTGTTTATGTTTTGTTTATGACACTTTAAATTCTTTCATAAACCTCACCAAAAAAAAACTGGAGCTAGTGTGAATATTTTTAAATTCGAAACGGGGCGGGGGTCACAAAGTTTATTTTATTCCACGCTGCTACATCATGATGTTTTCGCAACATCTTTGTCAAAGTGTGATGTAATAACGTTCCATTCGCGTTCTGATAACGTGATGAAAGGCGTCCGTTGTCAGTGTATGGCCTTTAGAACACTCTACTTCACATTCTGGACAGCAAGCAGAGACGTGTATAGAAGGTAAGTAAAGGGGCGAGGAAATTCATTAGGACTCTCATCAATTGGGCTCCCATCAACAAGGCTCCAGGCTGTTGTGGACCTCTTGGTCGGAAGCCATTTTGTCACTATTTTTAAAAACACATATTTGATAGCAAAATATTAATAGCAAATTAATAACATTTAGTATGATGTGTCAACTGCCGTTTACCAGTAAAATAGTCTACCACGTACGTTTGGAAGCACCGTTTTGACATGGATGACCCAAGTCCTATAAGAGTGGGGTAACTTACTTCGTCATACTAGTATTAGCAGGGTGTCCGCTACAGATGGATGACCCAAGTCCTATAAGAGTGGGGTAACTTACTTCGTCATACTAGTATTAGCAGGGTGTCCGCTACAGATGGATGACCCAAGTCCTATAAGAGTGGGGTAACTTACTTCGTCATACTAGTATTAGCAGGGTGTCCGCTACAGATGGATGACCCAAGTCCTATAAGAGTGGGGTAACTTACTTCGTCATACTAGTATTAGCAGGGTGTCCGCTACAGAAGGATGACCCAAGTCCTATAAGAGTGGGGTAACTTACTTCGTCATACTAGTATTAGCAGGGTGTCCGCTACAGATGGATGACCCAAGTCCTATAAGAGTGGGGTAACTTACTTCGTCATACTAGTATTAGCAGGGTGTCCGCTACAGAAGGATGACCCAAGTCCTATAAGAGTGGGGTAACTTACTTCGTCATACTAGTATTAGCAGGGTGTCCGCTACAGATGGATGACCCAAGTCCTATAAGAGTGGGGTAACTTACTTCGTCATACTAGTACTAGCAGGGTGTCCGCTACAGAAGGATGACCCAAGTCCTATAAGAGTGGGGTAACTTACTTCGTCATACTAGTACTAGCAGGGTGTCCGCTACAGAAGGATGACCCAAGTCCTATAAGAGTGGGGTAACTTACTTCGTCATACTAGTACTAGCAGGGTGTCCGCTACAGAAGGATGACCCAAGTCCTATAAGAGTGGGGTAACTTACTTCGTCATACTAGTACTAGCAGGGTGTCCGCTACAGAAGGATGACCCAAGTCCTATAAGAGTGGGGTAACTTACTTCGTCATACTAGTACTAGCAGGGTGTCCGCTACAGATGGATGACCCAAGTCCTATAAGAGTGGGGTAACTTACTTCGTCATACTAGTATTAGCAGGGTGTCCGCTACAGAAGGATGACCCAAGTCCTATAAGAGTGGGGTAACTTACTTCGTCATAATAGTATTAGCAGGGTGTCCGCTACAGAAGGGGGCTTAACCTTTATCTAAGGTCTGCGGTCATTTTTAGGAGAGTAGCGCCTTTTCGTACTCAACATTTAAACAAGCTTCGACGGGGTATAGAAAAAAAAAGACGCTTACGAGTTTGCGACATTGTACCGTAGAATCTTGGCCATTGAAGCGTGTTTACTGTGGTACAAACGTTGAAGGTTGACACCGGATTTAAGTGGACAAGATGACCCATAAGGTTCATTGATAATTGCCCGTGTACTCCTTGTTGTACACATATGTTCATCACAGGTTTCAGACAAGAGGAAGGAAACAGCAACACACCCGCATACAAGATAGGTGTTTTACAAGGGAGTGGTCTAGCGGTAGAGAGCTGGACTGCTAACCCGTAAGTCTCGAGTTCGAATCCGGGTTTAAGTCAGTAGACCGTCCCTGAGTCCACTCAACTCTGATGGGTACCTAACTCACGTTAGGGAAAGTAAAGGCGGCTGGAACTCTACTTCATAGACAGAAAGGGAAACTTACTTACCAAGCCTTTCTAACTAGGTAAGTTATAGATCTATCTTTTCTGACCCCACCCCGGAGTACGTCCAGCGCCCCCGGGACGAAATGAAAAATATATATAGACAACTACCGTACCCGTCGCGCGCGTTGCTGCGATCTCAAAAAAAAAATATTCAAGGACACTCTATATGATAACATTCACTTGTTACAAATGATGTATTAAAGTGTGACTTTTATGAAAACGAAACATTTTATGAGGGTTACCAAGCGCATATTTGTCATGTGTGACCTAGTTTTCTAAAACTGAGTTAAATATAAACAATGCCGCCGCTACAGTGGATCTTAGATTTTGGAGTGAGGTTGTGTCCACACTATCACCCAGACGCCCCTGGGCGTGCGAAATAACGCCTTTAGTGTAAGTTGATCACCCACCGTAATTGATGATTGTTTTAAAACATATGACCTAGATGAATGTACTCATCACACACATGAAACGCCGAGCTGATACTGACACCTCAAAGGTTACACTTGAGAAGTTCCGTCAACAGGAGGTGTACAGATGCTCAGTGGAGTGACATTGTGACGGGGGGGGGGGGTCAACTCGGCGCCGAGAAGTATGCGACCAGACATTTCAAAAGTTGCTGTTTACATAACTTACAGAGGAAAATACAGTTGTTCACAGTCCCAAGTTCGTAGTTTCTGTAAGGTGAGCATATATTTGGTGGAACGTCAAAAAGTCGCTACTATAAAAAAAATCCCCCCAAATGCGAACACCTCTGCTAAGAGTATTTAAATGAGCGGACGGTGTGACTAGGCTAACCCGTACAACGGTCTGACAGCGTTAACCAACTATTTAACAGCGTTAACCAACTATTTAACAGCGTTAACCAACTATTTAACAGCGTTAACCAACGGTCTGACAGCGTTAACCAACGTTCTGACAGCGTTAACCAAATGTCTGACCAGCGTTAGCCCTACACATATTACGCAAAAACTTGGCTCAACATTCATTTAATATTTACCAAACAGAAGGTTGATCAATAATAAACCAGAATGTCAGAGCATGTTTGTTGTGTCGCTATCTAGTGGAATACTTGCAATATCCGCTTGTATTGATTCATTTGGCGCGACCCCTCCTAGCAAGCGTTAACGCTCAGGTCTATGGCCCCCACATAATTCTTCATTGCAAGCGTTGAAGCTTTAGTCTATGACCCCCCCCCCTCCCCCGTAATTTCTCCTAGAAAGCGTTGAGGCCCTGGTCTATGACCCCCCACGTAATTTCTCCTAGAAGGCGTTGAGGCCCTGGTCTATGACCCCCCCCCCCCCACGTAATTTCTTCTAGAAAGCGTTGAGGCCCTGGTCTATGACCCCCACGTAATTTCTTCTAGAAAGCGTTGAGGCCCTGGTCTATGACCCCCCCCCCACGTAATTTCTTCTAGAAAGCGTTGAGGCCCTGGTCTATGACCCCCACGTAATTTCTTCTAGAAAGCGTTGAGGCCCTGGTCTATGACCCCCCCCCCCCCCCCACGTAATTTCTTCTAGAAAGCGTTGAGGCCCTGGTCTATGACCCCCACGTAATTTCTTCTAGAAAGCGTTGAGGCCCTGGTCTATGACCCCCATGTAATTTCTTCTAGAAAGCGTTGAGGCCCTGGTCTATGACCCCCACGTAATTTCTCCTAGACAGCGTTGAGGCGCTGGTCACGGCGTAGACGTTGAGGCGGTGACAGCGCATGCTCGACATACACAGCACTTCCTTACAGCCTCGCAGGAAGTTGCTGTTCTGACAAGCGTACATGGCGGGCTTGAGGGCGGAGGAGAGAAGAATGGACCAGAAGGCGGCGAGAAAAACCTCAGGGCTGATGACGTGGGTGGGGCTGCTGGAGTAGGCTGCGTGGGCTGCGTAGTAGGGCAGCTGCAAGAGAAGGGTGGCGCCACTCAGTGTCCACATCCGTCTGACCATCTTGACCTTTGCCCGAGGGACAGGGATGTTGGGGCGTCCGGGGCCACGCAGTGATCTGATGTGCCAGAATATTCGACCATAGCCGACACAGAGAACGGCCAGTGGGATGGCGTAATGGCTGGCGAGACACACGCCGGCGTACAGCAGGCCAAACCAGCGACGGCCTGGAACATAGGCTGGGCAGACGACTCGAGGGGACGTGACGCCGGCAGATTCAAGGTCGAAGAAGTAGAGCGCCAGACACGAGGTGAGCAGAGCAAGGAGCCAGGCCGCCTGGATCATTCTGTGAGCGGTGCCTCGCGTCACCTTGAAGCTGAGGGGGTGAAGGACGGTGTAGAAGCGGTCTATGCAGACGGCCACCAGGACCCACGCCGTGCTACACGTGGCAGAGAACTGGACGAAGCGGACCAGGCGACACACCACGTGACCCATGCTCCACTCCTGCAAGATGAGCTGCACCCAGACACACGGCGCGGCCAGGGTGACAAACATGACGTCACTGAGAGCGATGCTGGTGACGAAATAGTTGGTGGTGGACTGCACGCGCCGGCTGCGGCGTATGACGAGAAGGACCAGCGTGTTGCCCACCAGCGCCGCTGTCCACACCGGCACAAAGACCACGGACAGGACGATGATGAGCCCTACTTGGGCCGGCCTGATGGAGCCATCTGCTGCCTGCTCTGTCGTCATTGTTGACGTCATTCCAGTCAATGACGTGAAGCCCACCTGGAAGAGCGTCAAGTTCTGGCAGTCTGAAGGTGGCAGCATCGAGTCCACGTCTGAAATACAAGTCTCAACTCATTCATTGGCTCTCATTTAACAGCTTTCTCATCAATTTGACGAGAAACCAATTTGTAATAAAATAGTAGATGCTAATAGTTCCGGCAGCACGACTCCCCCCCCCCCCCCCCCCCACACCCTCGAACGAAATAGAATGTATACAGAAAATAGAAAAGATTGGTTAAGTCTTTCATAAAATAAAGACACTGAGCATTAAATTAGCAGTCTAACTCCACTAGTATAGGTACATGTATAGTGGCGGAACTAGGGAAAAACGCCCCCCCCCCTGCAAAAAGTACTACTACTACAGTACTACTTACTACTAGTAATGAAATCGTAAAAAAAAAATTGATTTTACTTTTACACGACGCGTGAACATGTGTGTGTCTGCGTATGTGTGTGCGTGATTGTGTGTGTCAGTATGTGTAGGCCTATGTTTCTACATGTGTGTGTGTCGGCATGTGTGTCTGTATGTGTTTGTGTCTGCATTAGTGTGTGTGTGTGTCAGCATGAGGATGTATATGCATGTGTGTGTGTGTCTGTATATATTTGTGTCGGCATGCGGGTGTGTCAGCATGTGTGTGTGTGTGTGTAACGTGTGTACCGTTTCTCTAGATGAGGAGAGACGGATGACAGTGCTGGCCTATAGCACGTCATGTCTGAAGCACAGGTCACTAGTGTGTATCTTGGGCTGCTCGGACTAAACTCATAACAAACCTCTTACCTTCCATGGCTCATTTCTTTATCGCTCTCGGTCTAATCGCAGTGTACCATAGAAAAGATTCTCAGACCAATCTAAAGAAAGCACACATTCTGGGCCCGTGACGTCAAAAGATCCTGGCATCAGAGCGTGCTGGCCACATGCACACAAGACGCGGCCATTTTGTCCCTGTCTGATCAGACTCAACGATCGTCTGGTCTTGTCTCCATACCCCACGGACAGACGACGCTCTCTGTTTACTTGGCGTTGCCATAGAAACAGTTTGCTTCTATAGATTTTGTGTTCTTCATTTTTCCCCCAATCGTTCATTGCACAATTTGAAATGTAGTGTGTAATTCCAATGAAATACAATTTAATACACCGTTATAAACAAAACAAGGCCTATTACTGCTTTTATGACTTTCAAACCTCGGAATATTCCTCCATTCTACCATTTCTTCGTGCCCAGTCGCGTCAACTTCTAGATCTAGATTCCCTTTCCTCAACTACCACCAAGAAGGGGTATAAATACAAAAACACAATGACCTGTTTGACCTCTTACCAAGGTTCCATGACAAATGATCTCAGGACAAAATATCTCAGGACAAATGATCTCAGGACAAATGATCTCAGGACAAATGATCTCAAGGACAAATGATCTCACGGACAAAAGAAACCAGGATAAAATATATCAGGACAAATGATATCATGGACAAATGATCTCAGACAAAATATCTCACAGCAACATTTGGCACCACAAGATCCTAAACAGAGTTTCAAAGTACAACTCTACTACACTATCTTGCATTTGGGTATACAGTTTTTGAAAATTAGAACAACATAATATTCTATTTGTCTATAGTTATGACAAATACAATATCAACGAAATGACACCTGCGGATTTACTTACTGACTGCAAACATTAAGAAACGTCGTTAATGCATAACGCTAATAAACATATTGATGCTGATGATCTTTGCAATGAGCTTCAAGTAATTGATCAAGGCCCCCAAAGCCTATGTCCCCATCATATATGCTTGATTAAATGAGTTTCAGTGGTTTGTCTTATGGTGGATAAACTTTGCAATGCAATAGGTTAAATGGTTTAATTTAAAATTTAGTCTACTTTATATATATATATATATATATATATATATATATATATATATATATATATATATATATATATATATATATATATATATGGGGGCCCGAAAATAAATTTTTGTGTGTGTGTGTGTGTGTGTGTGGGGGGGGGGTTAATAAGTTTTGCCTAGGGTGCTAAATAACCTGATGCCGTACGCTGGACACGGTGGCACACGACACTCGATGATTAAACCGAGCCAGGTGCCGTACGCTGCGCCCCTGCCGTATTGTAACCGGGGGCTCCCAATCAGAGTTTCTTCCAGATGGATTTTTATATAGTAAACATACACTTTTAATAGTGTCCGTCCCCCCCCCCCCCCCCCCCCGAAAAAATGTTGACCGCCCCCCCCCCCCCCCGAAAATTTCAAGTGCCCCCCGGAGAAAAAAGTCTGGAAGAAACACTGCTCCCAAGAGCGCCCCTGTACGTCCATGACATCTGGGCGGTCACTGAAGTGTCTTCCACCTCACTATTACGGAGAGTAATTAACTTATAACAAGGCTTTCATACATCACGCCCTGTGGTGTGCTGGGCGGTAGTGTAGGCGTGCCCCAGCTAATACGATACAAAAAGTAGAGCGTATGCATTGTTTACATTTAAATAACTCAGTGTCCTAGTGTCTAAGAATATAGGATTGGTAACGCAATGATGAAACCCTATTAAAATATTTCCGGCTTTTCTTTGGAGACCGCGGCAACGTGCGGAAACGGGTACGCTAGTCTATATATAAAAAAATCAAAGTACACCTGTTTGTCTGGTGAAGTTGTTATGAATACTCCTGGCTTGGTTTCTACGTTTAAAAAAAAAAAAAACAAATTTTGAAGGGGCGACTTTCGGGGGGGAGGGGGCGGTAGACTTTCTTCGGGGGGGGGGGCGGACACTGTTAAAAGTATATATTTTCTATATAAATTATATAAATTTCATTTCGTTCGGGGGGGGGGGGGGGCGGTAAAAAAAATTTCGGGGGGGCAAAGCCCCCCCCCCCCCCCCCGAAGAGATTCCTGGAAGAAACTCTATTGTCCGAAAGACTAAAAATGTTTCATAGAATTTCTACAGCCAGCTTACCTTTAGAGGACCGATACCAAATGTTCACCTAAAATTCTAGTCTAGTTCGTCGATTGCATCCCAATGCCAGTTGCGTACGCAGGGGGGGGGGGGGGGCTCTCCCTACTACCATTTTAAAAGACAACAGCAGAAGTCGCATTGTTTTTCAGTTAAATTCATTTTTATGTTTTTATGTGAAAAGCATATTTCATTTTGTTTTTTTTTAACACAGTGATATGGATGCGCGGCTCATTTTGCGCACCACACTAAAAAAAATACCAATGCTTTCAATTTGAAACTAATCATATTTGATTTATCCTTTTAAAATGGTTCGGTGAATGCGCAAATAAAGCTAGTGGGGTTCAATACCTCCGGTGTTTCTTTCAGACTTTTTTCTTCAGGGGGGGGGGGGGACACTCGAAAATTGGGGGGGGGGGGGACTAAATTTTTACGGGGGCGAACACTGGTAAAAGTATATAGATTCTATTTTCTATATATGCCTGATAGTAACACTGAATACCCCAAAAAGGTTAAGAACCACTGATCTACTCGAAAATTTCGGGGGGGGGGGGGGACTAAATTTTACGGGGGGGGGGGGGGCGAACACTGGTAAAAGTATATAGATTCTATTTTCTATATATGCCTGATAGTAACACTGAATACCCCAAAAAGGTTAAGAACCACTGATCTACTAAAAATAGTACGAATATAGCCGGGCCATTGGTTTATGGTTGAAGGAAGGGTAGGCTATGCTAAGCTAGGCTATTCATACAAAAACCGTTAGTGAAAAAAATGCCTAATTGGCTTTGTTTTATTTGCAACTCATTTTTAAATAATTGAATTATGATATTGCCATTATTATACAGCATGAAGGCGTATATTTATCCTTCATGTAGGCCTTTCTTCGTTATTAAAGTGTATTTTTCTTATTTTGTGTAAATAGTTGGCCTAAATTTATTTTTTCTAAAACAAAACAATAAAAAAAAAAAAAAACCCTACACCCTGGCCAATGTCGGCTACGCCATCTTGAAATTTTTAACTAGATTCAGACGTGAGGATTTAAGTATCACGCCTTCTCTACTCTTAGAGACATTAAGGGATCACAATTGGATTAGTCAACATCAACGCGTAAATCCTTTAAATGTATTTCGTTAGTGATTATAAATAATTATTCTTGGCGATATGCAGTAGAATCTAGATCTAGATCTAGACCTTTTTAAGATCTAGGATCTAGTTTAGATCTAGATCTAGATCTAGCCTAGAATTCTAAACGGACGCGAGCGAGAAAGTAGATCTCTAGTCATTCTAGTCTAATAATAAATGAGTAATAATATAATTAATATTCGAGAGGCCCAGGCATTAATTAATTTAAAAATCATGCACGGCGTAGATTCTAGTTACAATTAGATCTAGAATATAAGACGGTAATCTATCGTTTTAGGTAGGACGTAAAATCGTCGGTAATCTATCGTTTTGGGTACGTAAAATCGCCCGCGACGTAATGTGAAAAACAGGTGACTCCTTACATTTTAATAATTATTTCACATTTTGAGGAGGATTTATGTTTTAAAAATACAAAAATGTTTCCTTGTTTCATTTATCTAGATCTACCTGTTTTTAAACAATTGAATTAAAACTTTTCAGTAATAAATGAACACCAGCGATGTTTCCAACAGATGCAACCATGCTCATTTACTATAGCAGCCATCTTGTTAAAGTTTTATTTTTATAGACTTATAGCGCGAGATTCAGGCGGAAGTCACTCTATTTTACAAATGGCTGCTGTTTATATAGCAAATCTTGCTTGCAGACACTGCTGTTTAAAGTTAATTTCTGGCCTATATTGATATATTTAGCCATTGATTTAGGTTTATTATTCATTTATCTATAATAATTGACACAAACATATGACAATATACTTCTATTACAGCCTTGACAATGAGGTAACGTTTTCGTACATTAATAGCCGCGGGCGATTTTACGTACCCAAAACGATAGATTACCAAATCGTCCTCTGCTAGTAATGTGAAAAACAGGTGACTCCTTAAATTATAATAATTTCACATTTTAAGGAGGATTAATGTTTTGAAAAATACGAAAATGTTTCCTTGTTTTATTTATGTACATGTCTTTAAACAATTGAATTAAAACTTTTCAGTATTAAATGAAGATTAGCGATGTCTCCAAAGGATGCAACCATGCTCATTTACTATAGCAGCCATCTTGTTTATTTTTTTTTTTATTGTAAACTTATAGCAAAAGATTCAGGGGAAGCCACTCTAACTTCCAGATGGCCGCTTTTTATATAGAAAATCCTGCTCGCAAACTCTGCTGTTTAAAGATAATTTCTTGCCTATATACTACTATATTGATATATTTAGCCATTGATTTAGGTTTATAATTCATTTATCTACAATATTTAAGCCCTAATACAAATATATCACAATATGAATATAGGTCTACTTATATTAAATCCTTGACAATAAGGTAACTTTTTCGTACATTACTAGCCGCGGGCGATTTTACGTACCTAAAACGATAGATTACCAATAAGACTAATATGATTATAAAATCCTGTCTGTCTGGTTTTTTTCCGACTTAACTAAAGATTGGATGTATTTTTTGGATGTAGTAGACTCTGGGCCCCTACTCCTTATTTTTTCTTGTTCAAAACTTTTCTTTCAGCATTTAGGGCACTCAATTACTACAATTAGGATTAAATCATTAATTAATAGGGCCTACTAGAAAATAGTTTGAATTTCAAATAAACAGGTACAAAATATTTTCAGTAGGGCCTAAAACATGAAAATAATTATGGTATTTGAATGAAATCTAAAATTGATTTCAATTAGGTCTACTAGATCTAGTACATTTTTAAAAAAAACTTGTTTGATAAAGTAAATCACATGGGTTTTAGTTTTATTAGGTCCTAGGCAAATTTATTTTTCAGCTGTCATGTCACGGTACAGTAGAGCCCCTAACGACTGCAAAGTGTATATTGGTGATTTACCCAAGGATGCATCAGAAAAGGAAATAGAGAGAGCTTTTAGCTACTTTGGGCGCTTAAGAAATGTTTGGGTGGCAAGGAACCCTCCTGGATTTGCTTTTGTTGAATTTGAAGATTACAGAGATGCTGAAGATTCAGTGAAAGAATTAGATGGAACGTAAGTTCAGTTTCATATTTATTTAATTTATTTAATTCACAATGCCTGTTAGTGGCAACCATTGTAACTCATTTTTAGCCCACTCATTTGCAATGAGCTCATTCAAACTTTACAAATACATTCTTTTCCCTTGACAATACAAGAATTTCTAATTTTTAACCTAATTAGACTAGTCATAAAATTTAATTAGAAAATTATAGCATGATTTAGTACTAGTGATTGTTTGATCAGCTTGCTACTATAGCTGTTTGGTTTCTTGCCCGATAGTCTACCACTGAAGGGGCAGTTGTCTTTTAGTGATCACAAGACTGATCATTAGGCTAAGTACAAATTTCTAAAAAATAGGGAAAAAACAAGCATTTGTCCCTAAATTAAATCTCTAACATATTATAGCATTTTATTTAAGAAAGAAAGTTTGTGAAATAATTATAAAAAAATTAGTGCAGTTTCAAAGCTTATTATAAACCTTTTTAAAAAAAAAATTGCTATATTAAGAATTTTAAGGCCACTGCTTATCTTTCAGCGACAATAATGCAGTTATTTAAACATTAATAGTTACCCTTAATTTATTTATAGAAACATTTGTGGAAGTAGATGCAGAGTGGAACTGTCAACTGGTAAGGTTCGTCCAAAACCTTGGTTAAGAGGTGGTAGAGGGCCACCCAGGAGCAGACGTGCATTTAATCCTGATGATAGGTGTTATGAATGTGGGGAAAGGGGTCACTATGCGTATGACTGTTCCCGAAACCGCCGTGGAGGAGGTGGTAGCTCTTCAAGGCGTAAATCGAGGTTGGTTGTTTTGTCAATGTTCTCGTACTCATATTTATTGTATATATTTAATTCTTAGTAAAATGTTTTGATAGCAATTATACATCATTTTTAAATATTCCATCACCTATAACATTGAAAAAGTTTTTAAACAAGTTAACTATTATTATTGCGAGGGGTTAATTGTTTTGGAGTGTTGGAGTGATGACAGGCTCATTAATCGTGTTTGTTTTTGCTCCAACTGTCACTCATTTTGTGTACCTGCTTTGCAGAATAAAACTAAGATCAGCATTTCATCCCAGTTAGAGCAACCGCCACTAAGAATTAACCCAGTCATCAATCTTCACCTACTACTTGTTGAACAATCACCACCAACAACCATGTTAAGATTCGCGACCAAAATGCACTTGGCATCACGGTTTGATTGTCAGCTTACTCACCCCGGCAGGCAGCGCAGCCTTCATTGCGGCGGTGAAGATCTAAGATCAGGCACTTCCTTCGCATGATCTTAGAATTGAATCATCCCCCGTCACACTAAGATCGATTGATCGACCTACTTCTGCTAAGATATTAATCTACCCTTGTGAATGATTCATCACAATGATATTGGGTCATCTCAGCATCTTTTGAGTAGGTGAAATATGAGCACGGTAAAACAGGTTCAATGGGCAAAACCTCATTTGTCTTTCATGAGAAGTTTTTCTATTTTTTTTTTCCACAAAAGTAAGGCAAATTTTACTGGTGCTCTCTGGTTGAAGGTATCTAGGAATGGTTGTGGTGTTTTAATCCTTAAAAACAACTAAAGGGAGTCATTTTAGAGTTAGTGTAATGCATGCTTTTTTGTAATTGCATCTTTTCTTGCCAAAACAGAACTAGCCTGTTATAATATGATAGTTCAGCTTCCTGGATTCATTAGTCAGTCATTGACTTGACATACTTTCATACTTGATTCTTGTATAACATCATTCTTTTTTCAGATTGTTGCATTGTTTTTTTTTATTTGAATTTTTTAACTTGGATTATATTTTTTCAAGAATAATTTAAAATACTATTTGTTTTTGACCACTTTTTACTGCTGTTTTTTAATTAGTCCCTCAACCTCATGTTGGCTGGTATATCTAAAAAATTCTTTCTGTTAATACTAGCCCTTTTTTCTACAGATCATATTCTAGGAGTTACTCACGTAGTAGAAGTCGTGGTCGCCGAGATAGCCGTTCTAAAAGCAGGTGTGTTTTACTTTAAAAAGTATATTAGCAGGGATTTTTTTATTAATACCCACATTTGATTAGGTTAAAATAAAGTTTTTTTTACAAGTAATCTCCATAATGGGGGACTACTTTTGTTGTTTGAAAATCTTATAATGAATGAAATCACAACTTGAGTTTTTTTGTTATTTGTTTCTCTTTATTTGTATCTAGGGCTTCGAGGTCTGACGCTTCAAGATCAAGGTAAGTTTTTTAATTGTTTTGTTTCTCTTGTCATAAATGATCATAATTCCAATGTAGTTGTGTGTTCTATTTATACATCGCCCTTTATTCTTCAGTTATGTTTGAAAATAAAAACCAAATGTAAATGACCTTTATGGGATCAGCACATTCCACATGTTCCTATTGAAATAGAGTATTACAATACAGGTCAAACGGACAATCAAATATGTGCATTCCTTTTCTAATGGGGGATTGCGCTAGGTCTGACAGTGCTAGATTAAGATAAAATGTAGGTCAAGATTCGGAATTTTGGTGGATTTCTGAATTTTTCAGAACGCACGTTTTTCTAGTCCGAATTTTCCAAATTAAAACTTAGATCTCCCGGGCCTGTTTTTTTTTTTTGCAGTGTATCTCGAATGCGCAGTAGTCTGTCTGTAGCCTAATTTATCTACCATTATCAAGATGATAAATTTTAGTTACAAGTAATAATTTCAAAGACTTTAAATAAATATCAATACCCTTTCGCATTTCTGCTGATATAGTCTAGCTGATTTCATTTTCCATTACATGACTAGAACTTTACAATTAATCTAGGCTCTTTACAGTTAAAGACTTAAATTTTTACCATGCCCTTCTTTAAAATATAACTTCAATTATAAGGCTTAATTAAAAATTGAAAACGAGTACATTACAGTTTAAATTAATTTAATGTTAAAATAAAATTGCCACTTTTGTTACATTGTAAAATTTAATTTTTTTAAAAAGATGTTTATATGGTAAAAATTAAATTGTAGTTAAACAAGACTTACAATGCAAGTGAACTCTACTTCACTTGCCCCATAGACCGTCAGGTTTGAAAGGGAAACTTTACTTTTACAATGCTATTTTAGAGTAATTTTAAGATAAAATTTCCTGACCGGGAATTTCTATGATTAGTTGGTGAATTTTTTTTATCCCCCAAATATCGCAAGACCATAGCCTAATGTAGTCTCAGCTGTTCTCTAGTTTAAAGTTAAGGCGTGCAGAAGTAGTCTCTGGGTATTGGAGGAAACTATAGTCACAGATCATAGCTACAATTTCCATTTTGTTTTGTATTTCGTTGTATTTCATTGTAAAGGTGACATGGGAGGGGGGGGAGTGAGTGAGGGTGCCCTGCCCCTCAGAGTGGCCTGATAGAATCTGTAAATGTGACTTTCGTCAGGTTTGATCTTAGGTGCAAGGTTTAGGGGTATGACTATGACTTAATTTAGTTTCAATGTGCAGTAACTATGTGTAGATCAAGCTTAAATCTGATTAAAATGCAGATACTGGATAAAAATCTGCTTTCATTGACAATTTTCATTTTCGGTTAAATTAAAAGTTGGGGTGGTGATTTTGGTTTTGATTTCAGAAAAAGACACTATCAAGCTAGCGCACATTGTATCTCTCCCTCAACGGGCCATTTATCTCGTATAACTTAATATGAAGCAAATGTCGTGAAAAATGATAGTCAGATTTTATTTTTATCAGTCTGCGATTATGTTTCCTAGTCTATCATTCTATGTTTTCTTTTCAGATCACCTCAAGCAAAATCACGTTCACCATCTCATCATTCCAACTGAGTTATTTCTGGCTTTTGGGCAGGGGAATTTTTTAAAAATAATTTCTTATGGGTGGTTTCATGGCAATGCTGATGATGAAATGTTTATCAGTTAGAAGAGATAAACATGGCCATCAATCGTAATAGTTGTAGTGTACTTGATGATCCAGGTTCCAAATTAACATTTTATATGAGGTTTTATTTAGTTTTAAGTAAGTCACTAACTTAAGGCAGACTGCTTGCCACTAAATATGCTGTAAAGATCTTGTATAAAGTTGTGTATTTTTAAACTTAAGTTAGGTTCTAATTTATAGCATGTAAAGTTTTATGGGATGGTCTATGCGGCAGCTTTTTATGATCTGTCAGATTTTGTACATTCTGTTATTGCTACCTTCTGTATTTCACTTTTCTTCTTTGAATAAGACAATGCCTGTTGGTATCCAATACATAATATTGTCAGTTAATTTTTTGTCAACAATTTACTGTCATTTTCATTAGAATCACAATAAAATTTCCATTTTTATTCTTGTATTCCCATTTATGATTGCATATTTTAATACTAGATTGCCACTTCTGATTGACCTATTTATCAAAGCTTAGCTTTGAGCAGGTTTCTACAATGTTTATCAAGTGGGTGACATTTGGTTAAGCTTCAGACAGGAAGGATGAACACAAACTTGTATAATATTTCAATTTTATTCATTTCAATCACTTATTGCACTGGATAAAGTATAACAATATAAACTAAATTTATATACAATAAAACAATAACTAAAACTGAGCTCATAGATCAATGTTTTGCATCAACTAAAAATGGTGCCCTACCAGCCATTTAAGTTCCACTAATCTGAGCAGAGAATAGATTTTCAGACTTAAAGCAGCAAAGCTTTTAACAATAATAATTGGATGAAAAAACTTGCAACAGAGAATAAGATCTAATTCAGAAACTCTTGACTAATAAATACTCTTCAAATTAAGTGCCTGAACATCTATTTTAGGATGAAAGATTGCATGTTTCTAATAGGTTGGGTAGGTGTTTATAAGTGGACATGGGTATTAAAACTGTGTATATAGACAACTGCCATTGATGAAAGCACTTGTAGGGGTTGGACTACACAAGACAGCTTGCTGGGACTATCTCCTGCTGCTTTGTAGTGAAGGTTGGAATGGATTGTTATGAAACACCTGGTGATATCTAGTTGCTGGCTCCAAGCTTTCAGCTACACATGGACATGTTAGCTGTACATCTGTTTCTGGAACTGTGGGGATATTAAAAGTTTAGACAAGTTAGGATCTGTGTTAATTGATACGCTTTGCTAATTGCTTTTTTTTGTGTGTTACACTAGAAGGAAAAAAAAAAGCTGTACATCTGATTTTGGGAATGTGAGAGAATTTTAAAAATTTTCTACCAATAGCACAGAATTCTGTAAATCTACAGTTAATGCTAATTAAAATTTTACATGACATAAATAACTAATAATACCATATTAATTATACCATGTTTAACATTTGATAAAATTTTAAACCAAAATAAGTTCAGCTTGCTCATTTAATATAACACACTAAAATCGTTTCTTTTGTGTATAAAGAGGCATTTTACAGGTTAAAAAATAAATGTAGAAAATAAAATCTGACAGTGAAAATTGCAGATTTTTTACAATAAGTGTTATGAGGTTTTGACATACATGTCAAGTTTAAAAGAAATGTTAGTGATAGAAGTGGTTGAAATTTAACATTGGCTCTTGTCAACAAAAAGAACTGGGATTAAGGTTCAATCAGATTGAGTAAAAATACATACACTAATGAACATACAACACGACATAATCATCATGTTTTTATAACATTTCATATGATTTTTAAAACTATTTGCCCACCACTTTGAGAAAACTGTCCATATGGGGACAAAGCTTTTAGGATTTAAGACTATTTTTAACATAATACAAAACTATAATTGTAAGTCTCATTTTTACTTTTCTATCAATTCATTTTAACTTGAGTAATAAAGAGAAAAGATTGAGAGGTAAATAGACTTACGAGTGGCTAATTGAAGATCTTAATGATGATAAAAGATATCTGACAAGCTTCCTTTTTTTACCCAGAGGCAAAAGAGCAAATTTGGTAAAACATGCAATATTGTCCCAGACTCTCATCAGCCAAATATGAAAACTGTAATAGAAAAATCATGAATTTTATACCATTAGTTTTAGAATATACAAGCCCCGCAACTTTAGATACATCATAAATGCTGGTTGTAATTTATATGAACCCTGAACATATATGATGGAGAAGAATGGAAGTAGTCATACAATAAAAAGCAGCTGATATACGTGGTCAGACAACTTACTCCATAGAAAGATCTGTCAAGCGTATAGTGCCGGAGTACATCTTTTCAGCACACCACCATAATGTTTGGATGAGTTTGTTCCAGTGGGTTGCAGCACTCTTGTTTTTCTGCTCCCTGTAGTCTTCTATTGCTTTAGCAAATTCTGAAAGAAATGCAGGTTCTGTTTTAAAGATCTATGAGCATTCATGACTGATACAGAATGTTTCACCCCCAGTGCACAGGTAAGCGGGGAATTATAGCTGGGTACCTTTTTTTGTCTGCATTAGCCTCCAGGGTGAAGGAGCAATGAAGGAAACTGTTCAGATACTTAAAATGTTCTTACACTACACTCAAACAATTTTTAAATGCTCTGCCACATCAGGGTTTGTCATATATTTATACATTTAGAACCTTTTTTTCCAACACATTATAGTTTATACTTATATTTTAAAAACAGGCATTGCAGAAAAGAATAAATAAGAATATCAATCCTGAGAATTGAAAAGGCATACATACATACTTGAAATAGAATTAATAAAGGCATACATACATACTTGAAATAGAATTAATAAAGGCATACATACATACTTGAAATAGAATTAATGAAGGCATACATACATTCTTGAAATAGAATTAATAAAGGCATACATACATACTTGAAATAGAATTAATAAAGGCATACATACATACTTGAAATAGAATTAATAAAGGCATACATACATACTTGAAATAGAATTAATAAAGGCATACATACATACTTGAAATAGAGTTAATAAAGGCATACATACATACTTGAAATAGAATTAATGATGGCATACATACATACATTCTTGAAATAGAATTAATGATGGCATACATACATACATTCTTGAAATAGAATTAATGATGGCATACATATATACATACTTGAAATAGAATTAATGAAGGCATACATACATTCTTGAAATAGAATTAGTGAAGGCATACATACATTCTTGAAATAGAATTAATAAAGGCATACATACATACTTGAAATAGAATTAATAAAGGCATACATACATACTTGAAATAGAATTAATAAAGGCATACATACATACTTGAAATAGAATTAATGATGGCATACATACATACATTCTTGAAATAGAATTAATGAAGGCATACATACATACTTGAAATAGAATTAATGATGGCATACATACATACATTCTTGAAATAGAATTAATGATGGCATACATACATACATTCTTGAAATAGAATTAATGATGGCATACATATATACATACTTGAAATAGAATTAATGAAGGCATACATACATTCTTGAAATAGAATTAGTGAAGGCATACATACATTCTTGAAATAGAATTAATAAAGGCATACATACATACTTGAAATAGAATTAATAAAGGCATACATACATACTTGAAATAGAATTAATAAAGGCATACATACATACTTGAAATAGAATTAATGATGGCATACATACATACATTCTTGAAATAGAATTAATGAAGGCATACATACATTCTTGAAATAGAATTAGTGAAGGCATACATACATACATACTTGAAATAGAATTAATGATGGCATACATACATACATACTTGAAATAGAGTTAATAAATTGTAACCAAGTTGAGAGAGATGGGGAGGGGTAGACCTAAAGGATGTTGACCTAATGACTGCCCCTGTGTGTTGACTTAATGACTGCCCCTGTGTGTTGACCTAATGACTGCCCCTGTGTGTTGACCTAATGACTGCACCTTTGTGTTGACCTAATGACTGCCCCTGTGTGTTGACCTAATGACTGTCTCTGTGTGTTGACCTAATGACTGTCTCTGTGTGTTGACCTAATGACTGCCCCTGTGTGTTGACCTAATGACTGCCCCTGTGTGTTGACCTAATGACTGCCCCTGTGTGTTGACCTAATGACTGCCCCTGTGTGTTGACCTAATGACTGCACCTTTGTGTTGACCTAATGACTGCACCTTTGTGTTGACCTAATGACTGCCCCTGTGTGTTGACCTAATGACTGTCTCTGTGTGTTGACCTAATGACTGCCCCTGTGTGTTGACCTAATGACTGCCCCTTTGTGTTGACCTAATGACTGCCCCTGTGTGTTGACCTAATGACTGCCCCTGTGTGTTGACCTAATGACTGCCCCTGTGTGTTGACCTAATGACTGCACCTTTGTGTTGACCTAATGACTGCCCCTTTGTGTTGACCTAATGACTGCCCCTGTGTGTTGACCTAATGACTGCCCCTGTGTGTTGACCTAATGACTGCCCCTGTGTGTTGACCTAATGACTGCCCCTGTGTGTTGACCTAATGACTGCCCCTGTGTGTTGACCTAATGACTGCCCCTGTGTGTTGACCTAATGACTGCCCCTGTGTGTTGACCTAATGACTGCCCCTGTGTGTTGACCTAATGACTGCCACTGTGTGTTGACCTAATGACTGCCCCTGTGTGTTGACCTAATGACTGCCCCTGTGTGTTGACCTAATGACTGCCACTCACCATTTCTCACATCCAGAGGTAAGATAGAGTTGAGAGCTTTACGTCGCTGTAGGTGGCACTGTGCACAAGACAGACTAGTCCTGATCCTTGGGTCAGCGGCTAGGCAGAGTCGGCAGCGACAGTGGGCGTGTCCAATGTTGCAGGGTGAGGAGGAGATGGTAGCTCGGGTCATCAAGTGCTTTCTACAGCTCAACAAATCTGTCAACATTTACATCGGGTCATCAAGTGCTTTCTACAGCTCAACAAATCTGTCAACATTTACATCGGGTCATCAAGTGCTTTCTACAGCTCAACAAATCTGTCAACATTTACATCGGGTCATCAAGTGCTTTCTACAGCTCAACAAATCTGTCAACATTTGCATGTCTTTTTATTTAAGCAACTAGTTTTAGAGGGTCATCAAGTGCTTTCTACAGCTCAACAAATCTGTCAACATTTACATCGGGTCATCAAGTGCTTTCTACAGCTCAACAAATCTGTCAACATTTACATCGGGTCATCAAGTGCTTTCTACAGCTCAACAAATCTGTCAACATTTGCAGCTTTTTATTTAAGCAACTAGTTTTTCAGATCACATGGAACAAACTCTTTCAGTCTTGGAGTTGTACATTTAAATTTTGTACAATTTAAGTTTCTTGAACAAATAAAATATTGAACTTAATGTGAGCTAAACCTAATGTGGAACATTTGAGCTAAACATAAAGTGGAACATCTGAGCTTTGTAGAATTAATTATAAAACCACCAATACACTAATATTATTAGTGATTAGTACTAATGAGACTGAAGTTCTTTAGTCATAATTACCTTTCTTGTGTAGAAAGCGTAGACATTCATTATAGCCCTCCTCACACAACCTGAGCAACATTTCTGGGTTCATTGGGTTCAACGCATGATTGAGGCGAAAAATATTGTCTTCACTAGCATGCATGCTTGTCTGACCTATGTCAATGTTAAGGTCAAGGGCTGTAAGGTCACGAGGACAAATGTCAGATTCCCCAGCAAATGGACAGATGGTGATGGTGTTGTTGTCAAAACAAGGAATGTTGTCTGAAAATCCACCATCAAGGACTGTATACTAACAGGAAGAAAAAACATTTTTGTAACTTTATACAGTAAGGTTCATGTTTTAATATCAAGCAGTTAGGTTCATGTTTTAACATCAAGCACCAGAACTTACCCTATTTGAGAGCATCTCTAGCACCAGAACTTACCCTATTTGAGAGCATCTCTAGCACCAGAACTTACCCTATTTGAGACCATCTCTAGCACCAGAACTTACCCTATTTGAGACCATCTCTAGCACCAGCGCCTCCATGAAGCCGTCCATGCCACTCAGGCTGTCAGGTAAAATGGTGTCGAGGATGTGGGAAGCAACAGGTAAACTTCTCACCACCTGGCTGGTTTTCTGCACACCTTTGAAGCACAGCTTGACCAGTTTGTTCAGGTAACTCTAAACACAAGAAAACAAATCTTAACATTTGTTTGTTCAGGTAACTCTAAACACAAGAAAACAAATCTTAACATTTGTTTGTTCAGGTAACTCTAAACACAAGAAAACAAATCTTAAACATTTGTTTGTTCAGGTAACTCTAAACACAAGAAAACAAATCTTAAACATTTTTCTTGGCAACAATATCACAATTCATAATAACAAGCAGAGTCTAGTTTAGAGAATGGGTTCCGAAACTATGGGTAGACTAAACCCTCGCAATGAAAAAAAAAACATAAATATAAACAAAGAAGAGTTGCTACTTTGTGAAGATATCATGGAGAAAATAAATACGTTTTTTTGAAACTGTATGATTAACATGGGAAAACGGCCGTGGGGTTTGTATGGATGGTGCGCCATTTATGTTTAGGTCAAAATCGGGCTTTCAGAAAAAGGTAAAAGATTTAGCTCCCTAATGATGGGGAATCCACTGCATGATTCACAGTGAAGCCCTCACCAGCAAGACTCTTCCGATTCCATTGCTAATAAAAGTCATAAATAATATTAAATCTGGACCCGTCTGTTTAAAGGACTGTGCAAAAACATGAATAAAGATCACGAGGTTCTGCTTTCAACAGCACAGTACGTTGGCAGTCAAAATTACATGTTGCGAATCGTATTTTTGAATTGAAAGATGAAATCAAGTTGTTCTTTGAGTGCAAGGGAAACAAGACCTTTTGATATACGTTAACGACAAAGAAACAGTTGGAGAGTGTATCATTCCTAGCTGATATATTTGAACATCAACATAAGCTTAACCTGGGACTTCTGGGAAAATGAACAAATCATCTCTTTTTAATGATAATCTCGGGGCATTTTTATCAAAGCTGCAAAACTGGGGAAGAAAAATAAATGTAGGAAATATTGCCATAATTGAGGAACTCTGCAGTGTAGTAGATGAATCTGATTGTGAGAAAAAAAAAATTTGAAAGAGAAGATTTCTGGGCATCTTGAATCTCTTGACAATGAACTGTGGCATTATTTCCCTGAGCTGAAAGAAGAAGAATCTGCATTGACATGTAACCCATTCTCTGCTTCCCCTGATGTTGCCAGCATTCCTGATGAATTACAAGATGAATTCTTAAATTTGTGGAATGATTCTGCTTCAAGTTAAATGAAAAACCGATCACACAATTTTGGTGCAATATGCATTATTCATACCCAAACGTGACATTGATTGCTTTTAGAGTTTTAGTTCCTTTTGTGTTTATATCTTTGCAAGAATAGATTTTCAACACTTCTCCAATTGAAAACAAAACAAAGAAATAAATTAAATGCTGAGAATGACATGAGGTTGGCGTTAACAAAAACCGCAAATGCGAATTTTGAGACAAGTTAATAGGATGCAATTTTATTTATCGTAGTAAAACAGTTATCAAGGTTAATTCATATTGAAAGTATAATAAAAAATCTTATTTTAATGCCTATTAATTTCCTTACTAATTTTGACATTTTAATTCTATGGGGGTTGTCACTCACTTTTTATAAAGAGGGTTGCCACACAAAAAAATTTGGAAACCACTGGTCTAGAGAATGGATGTTGTATGATAAGAAGCAGAGAGTAAGGTCTAGAGAATGATATCAGGGTTGCACCATTTACACTGTGCTGGCGTGATGCATACATAATTTTTTCTTGAATTATAGGGTAACATTTTAAAAATTGAACCTCTGTGTATTCTTGAAACACTTCCTATTAGCCAGGTACCCAGCTAAACCCCATTAGCCAGGTACCCAGCTAAACCCCACTAGCCAGGTACCCTGCTAAACCCCACTAGCCAGGTACCCGGCTAAACCCCACTAGCCAGGTACCCGGCTAAACCCCACTAGCCAGGTACCCTGCTAAACCCCATTAGCCAGGTACCCAGCTAAACCCCATTAGCCAGGTACCCTGCTAAACACCATTAGCCAGGTACCCGGCTAAACCCCACTAGCCAGGTACCCTGCTAAACCCCATTAGCCAGGTACCCTGCTAAACCCCACTAGCCAGGTACCCGGCTAAACCCCACTAGCCAGGTACCCTGCTAAACCCCATTAGCCAGGTACCCGGCTAAACCTCATTAGTCAGGTACCCCGATAAACCTTAAAGAAAGATAAAATAGCTTTTTACTTTGATGAACTTACCCCTGAATCTTTGGAGTATTTTGATATGGAAGTTTTGTTGATGTGTGTTGTGGCTTGCGTGTCATCCCAATCATATCCATACACATCCCATATACTGTGTGAGCTGGCACGTTTGCGCTACAACACAATGAATTGTACATCAAGGGGGATAACTAGCACATTTCAACCATCAAAGATGGTTTCAAAACAGTGTGACTTATTAGAAACATAAACTAAGATGCAAATTGAGTCAAGATGTGTCAGACACTCACCCTAGTTTAAAGTCAAGTTGTGTCAGACACTCACCCTAGTTTAAAGTCAAGATGTGTCAGACACTCACCCTAGTTTAAAGTCAAGTTGTGTCAGACACTCACCCTAGTTTAAAGTCAAGATGTGTCAGACACTCACCCTAAAGTCAAGATGTGTCAGACACTCACCCTAAAGTCAAGATGTGTCAGACACTCACCCTAAAGTCAAGATGTGTCAGACACTCACCCTAGTTTAAAGTCAAGTTGTGTCAGACACTCACCCTAGTTTAAAGTCAAGATGTGTCAGACACTCACCCTAAAGTCAAGATGTGTCAGACACTCACCCTAAAGTCAAGATGTGTCAGACACTCACCCTAAAGTCAAGACGTGTCAGACACTCACCCTAGTTTCCCCACCTGACCAACAGTCTCCATCTCCATCACATGACTCCTCCCCCTCCCATCCAGCAGCACAGGGCAGGAGAAGTCCATTAGCAATATCAACAAAATCTTCTCCCTCCAGGGCAGGGGGGATCCAGCCAATAAACCCAGGCACAAATGAACTGGCAATCAGGCACTGGCAAAAGGTAAACGGCATGTATAATAAACTCGGTAGTCAACAACCTTGACCTAATTGTGCAATTTTTATCTACATCTGCTACATTGTAATTATATGTGGATGTGATAAAATTTAAATATATCTGGATGTCATACATTATAAATAAAGTCTTCAGCTGGCATAGATTTTTAAATATTTCCCATATAGATGTGAAATCTCACCTGAATCAAGTGATCTTTAGAATGGAAGTCTGTGACTAGAGCACACTGCAGCCCCCTGAGAATAGTCACTGAGACGTACAGACGTTTAGACAGGCGCTTGTGGGCATCGTCAGGCAGGTACTGGTTCAACAAGTCTCGCAACATCTGGGCCAGGTCCATGTGCTCCTTGTTACGTACCGTCTTGGCCACTTCCAACATCAGCCGTGTCATTTCACCTGCAAGCAAAATTTTTATCATTCAGTTTACACATACTCTTTCATTACCTTAAATGTAACAAACAAAATTTGTTATCATTCAGTTTACACATACTCTTTCATTACCTTAAATGTAACAAACAAAATTTGTTATCATTCAGTTTACACATACTCTTTCATTACCTTAAATGTAACAAACAAAAATAATTAAATGTATATACATCTGATACAAAATACACACAATCAAGTTGTTATGGTCCTATATGTCTATATAACACTGCACAGTATTGGAGCCATAAGTATTCTCCTAATGGAAGCTTTATGATTACAAATTTTTGTGATGATTGACTAATGCAGGGGTCTCCAAACTACGGCCCGCGGGCCGGATGCGGCCCGCGAGGACCTCTCATCCGGCCCGCGGAGATCTTTTTGTCTACGGAAAAAACTTTTGTTGGTGCTGCCTGAGGAACTTTGTCCAGAAAAATCAAAGACATGCCTGGAAGAAACTGGCCCCCGAACTGAAATTTGTTAGTTAATGCGGCCCTTGGACTGAAAAGTTTGGAGACCCCTGGACTAATGGATAAGAATAGAAAGTCAATCTAACAAAATTAAACTACTGTGTTAATAATTATTCTTAAATAATGTTCAATTAATTTGTAATCTAATCGTTAAAGTAGATAATTCATTATTCTATGTACACATGACAGTAAAAATTGGTCTTTAAAATATTAGTCAAGTCTTAATTTTCTATAAGTAGTTGGTCAACCTAACAATCATACAATTTTCTGTAAGTAGTATAGTAGGTCAACCTTACAATTTTCTGTAAATAGCAGGTCGACCTTACAATCACACAATGTTCTGTAAGCAGTAGGTTGACCTTACAATTATGCAATTTTCTGTAAGTAGTAGATCAACCTCACAATCATACAATTTTCTGTAAGTAGTAGGTCTACTTTACAATCAAACAATTTTCTGTAAGCAGCACTGTCTACCTTACATTACAATCATACACTTTTCTTTTTCCACTGTTAGCTTCATGTTTCCTCAATTTTACAATTCTAAACCGTAAACTTCAACTATCCAAAAGTCCTACAGATCTGTTCCAATTCTAAACCAACTATCATACAAGACTGTAACTTCCTAGAATCTAAATGCAAAATGCATTTTGCACAATAATAATAATAATATTTATATCTAGATCTACCTGTTACTACCTATACACAATACTCCTATACCATACCTATAATAGCCTAGGCCTTGGACCGCCTTGGTATATTTTTAATCAGATTCTATTTATTTTTAGGCACAATCTTATTTAGATGCTTTTAAGTTTAAATAATAAAATGCACACTCAATTTGATAGATCTAGATTTAAATATTAAATATCAATTAGATCTAGGATCTAGATTCTAAAATCTAGATATCTAATAACTAATATTATAGGCCTAATAAAATAATAATGAATCATCTATGCTAGCGGAATTATTTCTCTCTGTAGTTGCCCCTTGATTTAAGTCTTAAAGACGTAGTTAGATGTATGTATGTAGTAGTATGTGGCTATGTGAATGTGGGATTATGTGCACGATCCTTTATTACATTTTCAGGCCTGTTGCTTGGTAGTTCAATTCTTTAACAGTGATATAGACCTAGATCTACTAATAATAGTTTTCTGTAGCCTAAGTAAGGTGTACTTCGAATAGTTACTTTCAGCAACAAATAGATAAGAGTGTTATCATAAAAAAAGATTAGGCCTACGTTGAAATGTTGACCTAGGTTACTAGATCTAGGTCAATTTTTAACGTCTGACCGATATCCCACCAATAATGTCCCGAGTTTGAGTCGACACCTATTTTTCGACCAATGAACGGTCGGGCTCATGTAAAAGTAAATAAGTTAGCCTAACAATAACATCGGGCCTTACAAGGCATAAACTAATCATGAATGATAAAGTTAAATGTTATTGATAATATTGTTGACTTATAAAAAACCGAATTCTTATTTTGAATAAACTTCTAAAACATGAACGATAATTCATTGTAGATTTTCTAAAAGCTACGCAAACGGACAACACTTACCAAAATCTATATCACACAACAATGTTGTTGCCACAAGGGCCCCGGCACTTGCGCCGGCAAACTTTATTTCTTTTCTGCTTAACACATCAGTATGGTCGCGTAAACAAGCTGCAACGCCAACGTGGTAAACTCCCAGAAATCCACAACCAGAGAATGAGAAACTCGGCACCACATTATTAGTTGGAGAATCCAGAGAGTCAAATGAGTCTGCCTTTCCGTTTTCCATGAGCTAGAATCTAGTAGAGCTAGATCTACCACCCACCGCTTGACAAAATCTAACTAGATCTAGATACAAGACTTAAGTTAAATCTACCTAGAAATCTAGACTAGATCCTAGTATTGATTTACAAGCTTACATAATTAAAATTAGGTCTAGATCTATATTATATAATATAATAGATCAATCTATAGTGACAGTCTATCTCTATTATACTCTCGTCTGTAGATTTCTAGATCTAGATTCTACAAGTCAACAGTCGGACTAAAAACTAAACTCACAAGTCGCCAACAGTCTCTAGATTCTATATCTAGAATCTTGAATGTACAACACAGTATTCTTGGGCGTATGATAAGAGGAAATCTAAATCTAGATTTTATATCTATACTAGGATCTAATAGAAGATGCTGTTCGACTATCCTTTTCCTATTCGATTAATCTAAAGTCAGGAGATATTATTGGCGTACGCTATTAAAAAACAATCACATGATTCAATGTTGTTAGTTTTCTGCATTGCCATTGGTTATTTTTTCACGTGATTTCGAGGCGCTGTCAGGGAGAATTTCTAAATCGCGGTGGCGTAGGTTATCCGACTTTCCACATGTTTTATTTTGTTAGGTTATACTTATACGTGAACTATTGGGACACACAAAATTTCGATGCCTTATTTTGTAAATAAAATTATCAAGCATTAGGCTAACCATTAGGCCTATTTTTTTTAGCCTACATCAGAGGCGTATACAGGTTTTCGGGCTAGGGGAGCGGCGAAGTTAAAAGTCTACCACCACCCCCCACCCCCCAGTAGCGTAGTGAGGGGGGGGGGGGCGGGGGGGGGGGGACATATGTCCCCGGGCACCGAGCTTAGGGGGCGCCAAAATGGGTTGGAAAAATAAATTGAAAGGTTGAGGGGGGTGCAAATTGAAAGTTTGAGGGGGGGGGGGTGCAAATCAAATTCTCGAGTGGGGTGCAAATCGAAAGTTTGAGGGGGGGGGGGGTGCAAATCTAAAAGTTTGTCCCCGGGCGCCGGGAAGGGTCGCTACGCCTCTGCCCCCCCCCCCCTGAACGAAATATAATTTATAAAGAAGCGCTGCACAGCATAAGGAAAGTTTGTGAAAGTAGAGTTGGATTTTTAAAAAGCGCTTTTCAATCAATTTGAAATTTAAATCTAATAGGTGGAACATTCTGAATAGAAGTCCACAATAAATTTATCTTTTAACAGCTTTCGGTGTTCATTAAAGACTACATTTTAACGTAATGATAAGGTATGGGTTAGATAACTATTGCACGCACATGCCTGGAAAAAAAGCGCAAACAGAAAAAAGCGCACACTGAAAAAAGCGCAAACGAAAAAAAGCGCAACCAGAAAAAGCGCAAAGAGAAATTGTAGCACAAAGACATATATATAGACTAGATGACACATTTCAACATGACTGTTATGGCTGCTGTGAGAGTGTCGTGTTTGATCACGTGATCTGCTACCATTTAAAGCATACCACTACCATGTGCATTCACATTATCACCATACAGGCGATAATCGCTTTACACAATGCCTATTATTTTCTTGGTCAATATTTATTCAACTACTATTCTCGTATAAATAAGAATAAAACTTCACTCTCTTTCATCCGCGTCATCAAACATGCATTCGTCAAATCTCTCGCACCAACATTCATTCGCACCAAAATACCCTGATAAAACACACATCATAACAATGATGTATTTAATATTATTTCATCATGACGCACCTACCTACCTACCTACCTACCTACCTACTTACCTACCTACCTACCTACCTACCTACCTACCTACCTACCTACCTACCTACCTACCTACCTACCTACCTACCTACCTACCTACCTACCTACCTACCTACCTACCTACCTACCTTGAGAATACAAACGTGCAATAAAATGGAGATTCAAGGAATTTTTTCTTTCTCCGTGTGGTGGGTTGAGGGGATTTGGGCTTATAACTAGAGCTTAAATAAATTTGGGATTAAAGAAAAAAAAAGAAAAATTACGTTGAGTACAATAAGACACATCAAATCTTTCAGTCCTCCCGCAATTTTTTTTTAAATTAAAAAAAAATCCATTTATTTTAAACATTTAAAATAGTAATAATTTATTTTGTATTTTTATACAGTTTCAAAGACATGAACATACATTGAATATTACGGTAATTAAATGGAGAAAGTAGAATTGAGTGGCTTAAGAACTAGAATAAAATAGACTGCTTAGCTCACCATTGCCCCATCAGTGTTTCTTCCAGACTTTTTTCTCCGGGGGGGGGGGGGGGGGGCACTTGAAATTTTCGGGGGGGGGGGGGGGGCGGTAGACTTTCTTCGGGGGGCGGACACTGTTAAAAGTATATATTTTCTATATAAATTATATAAATTTCATTTCGTTCGGGGGGGGGGGGGGGGGCGGTAAAAAAAATTTTCGGGGGGGGGGGGGGGGGGCTTCCCGTAGAGATGCCTGGAAGAAACTCTGTGCCCCATCTTCACCTGTGAAGCCAAAAGTTGAAACGTGGCGACCCATGGTATTTTTGCCGAAAACTATTTAAAATGAGCTTAATGGATGTAAGTAATAAAAACAGCTTGACCGTTAATGCAGGTTTTACCATTGACACGCATATGCTAAACAGGTGAACGGAAAAAAAGTCACATGAAAAAAGCACTGAAAAAAATTCTGAGGAATATTTTGATTTTATTGTTGATAATTTTGTAAATTTTGGTGTTTATTAATGTGTGTTTGTTCTTTTTCGTAGCATATTTATAAACTTTAAAACCATTATGATTCATAATAATAATAAACAAAAAAATTCATAAAAAAAACGTTTTAATAAAAAGCTTTTATGTAATAATGCACTAAAAAGTAGAAAATAAATAATAGACTACTATTTAAATAACTCTAATGAAAAGCTTGGGTCACTTCAGTATTTATTGGATACCTTTACTAATGTTTAGTGATATCCCCTAAACTCTCTCAAATATTCTCGGAATATAGACATGATTTTTAATTACTTAAACTTTTAAAAATAGAAAAGAATCTCGTAGAAAAAAGAATTGCGCACCAAGCGAACGCCAAAACAAAATGTGCATAATAGTGCATAATATTATTAGTACTTTTTAAATTTACATGCGGTTTTTGAGAAATCGGAAATAGCGTCAATTACTACTTCCGGTCAACAGAAATTACTCAAAATTTGATAGAAGGTAGAAAATTAGATCTTATACTTAAATGCGAAACTTCATTTATCTATCTGAAATAGTACTCAAGTTTATATAGCCTTATTAAAAATTCAAAGTAGAAAAAGTACCACTTCCGGTTATCGGAAATCGCTCAAAAGTTTATACGGAACTACGATTTTGATAAAATACTTATGAAATTTCATCAACCTAGCTGTAACGGCACTCAAGTTATCGTGTTTACACACAGACAGACAGCTAGACAGACACACACACAGACAGACATACAGACATACGGACAAGATTGCAAAATTATGTTTTTCCGTATCAGTGAGTTGTAAAAATCTCGATTTTTTGCACGATTATAAGACTTTCTCTATACTTGTATAATCGAGAAAGTAAAAAATTGGTGGAAAAATCTTGGTAACTATGACAACGGCGGCCAGTAGTTTTAATGCCCCAAAATTCCCCAAAGTTAAGTGTTTGAACGGACACAAATTTTGAAATTCATAAAAAATTAGTTTGAAGATATGCACTTTAAATTTGTAGCTGAGTGCCCCAAAATATGGAAGAAGATTATGAATTGATTGTTTATTGGGCTTAAAATGTAATATTTTATGAATGGTGGAAAACCTACGAAGGGGTTAATTTTTCAAGATGGCCGCCGTTGTCATAGTTACCAAGATTTTCCACCAATTTATTTTAGTGGAAATGCATATGCGGATGTATCTTAATAAAGCTGTAAAGAAATAACTGTTTTCTAACGAGTATTAATTTTTTTTTTTTTTTTTTTTTTTTTACCGGAGCCTTCCCCCTTAAAAACATGATGAAAAACGAAAAGTTTGGGACATCTTATTTAGTATTTAGTTATATAGTGGAATTAAAACCTACATACTTCATACTAAATATTAATTCTTGTGTCACACATATTACTATCCCACCTACGCACTTTGAATCTAGATCTATATCTAAAATCTTTACATTACATTTGAATCGCAACTTGATTTTCACTTTCAGAATGTTAAATTCCATACAAATTCATATTTGTGACTCTTATCCTGTGACTTTTTTTTTTTTTTTTTTTTCCTGTGACTTTTTCCCCCCTACAATCGAAAAACAAACAGTCGCCAGAACCCAGGGCGCAAAACCCCATACCATATTAATATAATTATTAATATATTATTATGTTTTTAATTTCTAAAATTGCGACATATTAATAACATGTCGCAATTTCAGCAATTTAAAAAAATATACCGGAGGACAAAAAAGGGGAAATAACTCTAAAATTAGAAATTGCATACTACAATATAAAAAATCAGAATTAAATTCTTATTTAAAATATTTGTAAGTCGAAATTTAGATCTAGACTCTAGAATAATATAGATCTAGAAATATACGGTAAAACTCCATTTTAGCGTATTTTATTTCTCCGAGGCTTGTTTACCTCCGGTTGAGCGTATTTTATTATAACGACCGAAACATACCAAAACATTTTAGGAAAACACGATTCATTTAATCATATAATCATAATTTATAATGACATTTATGTTGTATTGTATTTTTGTTTTAACAAATGGACACAAGCTAGAAAAGTCTCAAAGGTATTTGAGAGGTGCATAAATTAATTTAAAAATCTTGCACGGCGTAGTTACAATTAATATGGTTATAAAATCCTGTCTGTCTGGTTTTTTTCGGACTTTACTAAAGATTGGACGTATTTGATGTTTTTAATATTTTCGGTAACTAAATAAAAATTAAAAAAAAAGCAAAAACAATTTGGTTTTCACGTATAATGGCGACATAAACAATGGCATCCTGCTATTGGATAGGCCGACATAAATTTTATTGTACACATTGTAAGCTAAAAATAGAAAACTAGGTCATGGGGTTTTAAATTTGCATTGTTATTTAAAAACTTGATCTGCAAAGTTTTGTAAACAAATAGTTAACGATCACTAAGTTACTGTACAGCCAATCAATATTTGTCTTACGAAAGTGAAACATCCGGTTATAACTTAGGCTTGATGAAAATAAATAGAAATGTAGCCTTAAACTCAACAAATTATTTTCAAGTTCTCTGGATTTGCAACTTTTATAGCATTTATTCTAAAAATATAAAATTTCTAAATTAATTTTAGGCTTAAGTTTTTATTTTTTATTTTTTTTTACGGTCTAAATCTAAAAAGCACGTTTTTATTCCATGTCAACAACACTATGGAAGGAATCTCGTCAACTCGCTTGTCTCCATTAATAAAAATGAATTAAAAAAACAAAGAGACTGACTTTGTTTTAGATTTTGATAATTTAGTTTTGTTAAAGTTAAAACTTGAGAAAAATCCAAATTTAGAATATTGAATGTGCAATGTTCGTGTGTCAGAATTTTCAGGGCAATGGGTGAAGTACGTAAACGTAACTCACAATTGCAAGGCGGTTAAGTTTGTATTGTTACAAGTATCTCCCAGGCATGATACTATAAATAAACATTAATGAACTTACAATGACCCCAAAACTGAGGCCAACACAATTTCAAATAGCAATTGCCCGAGCTATGACGTATGACCGTGTAAGGATTTTTCTCCCGCTGACGATTACACGAGATTCGATATTTAATTGGAACAGTTCTAATGCTTTTTATGGTTTTTTTTTACTTTTTCTAATTAAAAATCACATTCATTAAAAAAAATAAGTAGATCTAGTGTTTTCCTGACGTTTTTGTGTGTTTCGGTTGTGTTTATAATAAAATACGCTCAACTGGAGGTGAACTTGAAGCGGGGAATAAAATACGCTAAAATGGAGGTTTACCAAATATACTTATATAGACTAGAAATCTGGATTTGTATTCAATATATACTAATATATAGTTTTCTAAATTCCAAAAAAAAATGCAAAAATAAAGACTAAATTTAGACATTATTTATTAGATTAGGACTAGACAAATCAAAAGATTTTAAAAGAACAAACCATTTGTTTTTGTTCATTTTTGCTGCTTCTTTAACTAAGTTTAACTTCAACTTTAACAAGGGCTAACAAGTTGTTATTCTAAGAATATTTGAGAAAGTTTAGGGGAAATCATTCCCGCTTTATTTTCAATGAATGTTCAAAGATATTAGGTAAAATGATTTCTATTTTCATGTAAAATTGAATAGCTAGACTAGTGCCCTTTTTTGGGTTTTTATAAACCATTGTTGTTTACACATATAAATTTTAGATTTGTGCTAGAGAGTGTAGACAAGTGACATAAAAATCATAAGCCAGGGTTTTCCTTTTTTGGCCATTGTCTGACTCCACACACCCTGTAAAAATATGGATACCAAATGACCTTTGCTAGATCTATTTGTCACAATGCAGGATTCAATACCAAAAACAGTTTTTGCATTATTTGTGTGTTATACCAGTTGTCATGCGAGCTTAACTATTAGCACAGCAGTTCTTAAAATCAAATTATGAAAAGTTGAAATCTGTCATTTTACAGATATCCAAGGTCTACAAACACAAAATACTACTTTTAAAGATGTCTTCTAAAACCTGTGATGGCCTAACTAGACAGGATGACCTAACTAGACAGGATGACCTAACTAGACAGGATGACCTAACTAGACAGGATGTAGGTGATGAGGAACCTCTGGGTAACCCTGTGGCACCACCTGATGTGGACCTGGATCAGCTTAGAGGGGACCGGATAGGTGACACAGTGTACAGTGGCAAGTGGTGCATTCAAACTGTCATCAAGTTGATGAAGGTAGAGTCAATTATGGTAGTTGACTGGTCACTGGTGGTAGTTGAGTGGTCAATGGTGCTAGTTGGCTGGTCAATGGTGGTAGTTGACTGGTCAATGGTGGTAGTTGAGTGGTCAATGGTGCTAGTTGACTGGTCACTGGTGCTAGTTGACTGGTCAATGGTGGTAGTTGAGTGGTCAATGGTGGTAGTTGACTGGTCAATGGTGGTAGTTGAAAGGTGCTAGTTGACTGGTCAATGGTGGTAGTTGACTGGTCAATGGTGGTAGTTGACTGGTCAATGGTGGTAGTTGACTAGTCACTGGTGGTAGTTGAAAGGTGCTAGTTGACTGGTCAATGGTGCTAGTTGACTGGTCAATGGTGGTAGTTGACTGGTCAATGGTGGTAGTTGACTAGTCACTGGTGGTAGTTGAAAGGTGCTAGTTGACTGGTCAATGGTGCTAGTTGACTGGTCAATGGTGGTAGTTGACTGGTCAATGGTGGTAGTTGACTGGTCACTGGTGGTAGTTGACTGGTCACTGGTGCTAGTTGACTGGTCAATGGTGGTAGTTGAGTGGTCAATGGTGGTAGTTGACTGGTCAATGGTGGTAGTTGACTAGTCACTGGTGGTAGTTGAAAGGTGCTAGTTGACTGGTCAATGGTGCTAGTTGACTGGTCAATGGTGGTAGTTGACTGGTCAATGGTGGTAGTTGACTAGTCACTGGTGGTAGTTGAAAGGTGCTAGTTGACTGGTCAATGGTGCTAGTTGACTGGTCAATGGTGGTAGTTGACTGGTCAATGGTGGTAGTTGACTAGTCACTGGTGGTAGTTGAAAGGTGCTAGTTGACTGGTCAATGGTGCTAGTTGACTGGTCAATGGTGGTAGTTGACTGGTCAATGGTGCTAGTTGACTGGTCACTGGTGGTAGTTGACTGGTCAATGGTGGTAGTTGACTGGTCAATGGTGGTAGTTGACTGGTCAATGGTGCTAGTTGGCTGGTCAATGGTGGTAGTTGACTGGTCAATGGTGGTAGTTGACTGGTCAATGGTGGTAGTTGACTGGTCAATGGTGGTAGTTGACTAGTCACTGGTGGTAGTTGAAAGGTGCTAGTTGACTGGTCAATGGTGCTAGTTGACTGGTCAATGGTGGTAGTTGACTGGTCACTGGTGGTAGTTGATGATGAAGTGTTGTTTGGTAAGTTAGTGCTAGGTCTTCAAGATTTTTGTTGATCTTACCCTCACCAGAGTAATGTGGTTAACAAGCCTAGCAAGTCATGTGATGCACCGACTCAAATTTCCCTGCCTAGTGAGTCAAGTGACTCTCAGACTCAAGTTTCACAAGTTTGTGACTCAGGTGACGCTCAGACTCAAGTAGTAGATATGGATGAGGAGCTGCAAAATGAAGTTGGTGTTTTGTGGGACATGACCAGTAACATGGTATGTGTTGGTGTGGTATGTGTTGGTGTGGTATGTGTTGGTGTGGTATGTGGTATGTGTTGGTGTGGTATGTGTTGGTGTGGGATGTGTTGGTGTGGTATGTGTTGGTGTGGGATGTGGTATGTGTTGGTGTGGGATGTGGTATGTGTTGGTGTGGTATGTGTTGGTGTGGGACATGGTATGTGTTGGTGTGGTATGTGTTGGTGTGGTATGTGTTGGTGTGGGATGTGGTATGTGTTGGTGTGGGATGTGGTATGTGTTGGTGTGGTATGTGTTGGTGTGGTATGTGGTATGTGTTGGTGTGGTATGTGTTGGTGTGGTATGTGGTATGTGTTGGTGTGGTATGTGTTGGTGTGGGATGTGGTATGTGTTGGTGTGGTATGTGTTGGTGTGGGATGTGTTGGTGTGGGATGTGGTATGTGTTGGTGTGGGATGTGGTATGTGTTGGTGTGGGATGTGGTATGTGTTGGTGTGGGACATGGTATGTGTTGGTGTGGGATGTGGTATGTGTTGGTGTGGTATGTGGTATGTGTTGGTGTGGTATGTGTTGGTGTGGTATGTGTTGGTGTGGGATGTGGTATGTATTGGTGTGGGATGTGGTATGTGTTGGTGTGGGACATGGTATGTGTTGGTGTGGGACATGGTATGTGTTGGTGTGGGATGTGGTATGTGTTGGTGTGGTATGTGGTATGTGTTGGTGTGGTATGTGTTGGTGTGGTATGTGGTATGTGTTGGTGTGGGACGTGGTATGTGTTGGTGTTGGTGTGGTATGTGTTGGTGTGGGATGTGGTATGTGTTGGTGTGGTATGTGGTATGTGTTGGTGTGGGACATGGTATGTGTTGGTGTGGGATGTGTTGGTGTGGGACATGGTATATGTTGGTGTGGGACATGGTTTGTGTTGGTGTGGTATGTGGTATGTGTTGGTGTGGTATGTGGTATGTGTTAGTGTGGTATGTGGTATGTGTTGGTGTGGTATGTGGTATGTGTTGGTGTGGTATGTGTTGGTGTGGGATGTGGTATGTGTTGGTGTGGGATGTGGTATGTGTTGGTGTGGTATGTGTTGGTGTGGGACGTGGTATGTGTTGGTGTTGGTGTGGTATGTGTTGGTGTGGGACATGGTATATGTTGGTGTGGGACATGGTTTGTGTTGGTGTGGGACATGGTATGTGTTGGTGTGGTATGTGTTGGTGTGGTATGTGTTGGTGTGGGATGTGGTATGTGTTGGTGTGGGATGTGGTATGTGTTGGTGTGGGACATGGTATGTGTTGGTGTGGGACATGGTATGTGTTGGTGTGGGATGTGGTATGTGTTGGTGTGGTATGTGTTGGTGTGGGATGTGGTATGTGTTGGTGTGGGATGTGGTATGTGTTGGTGTGGGACATGGTATGTGTTGGTGTGGTATGTGTTGGTGTGGAATGTGGTATGTGTTGGTGTGGGATGTGGTATGTGTTGGTGTGGGACATGGTATGTGTTGGTGTGGTATGTGTTGGTGTGGGATGTGGTATGTGTTGGTGTAGGACATGGTATGTGTTGGTGTGGGATGTGGTATGTATTGGTGTGGGATGTGGTATGTGTTGGTGTGGGACATGGTATGTGTTGGTGTGGGATGTGGTATGTGGTATGTGTGGGATGTGGTATGTGTTGGTGTGGGATGTGGTATGTGTTGGTGTGGGACATGGTATGTGTTGGTGTGGGATGTGGTATGTGTGGGATGTGGTATGTGGTATGTGTTGGTGTGGGACATGGTATGTGTTGGTGTGGGATGTGGTATGTGTAGGATGTGGTATGTGTTGGTGTGGGACATGGTATGTGTTGGTGTGGGATGTGGTATGTGTGGGATGTGGTATGTGGTATGTGGTATGTGTTGGTGTGGGACATGGTATGTGTTGGTGTGGTATGTGTAGGATGTGGTATGTGTTGGTGTGGGACATGGTATGTGTTGGTGTGGGATGTTGTATGTGTTGGTGTGGGATGTGGTATGTGGTATGTGTGGGATGTGGTATGTGTTGGTGTGGGATGTGGTATGTGTTGGTGTGGGACATGGTATGTGTTGGTGTGGTATGTGGTATGTGTTGGTGTGGTATGTGGTATGTGTTGGTGTGGTATGTGGTATGTGTTGGTGTGGTATGTGGTATGTGTTGGTGTGGGATGTGGTATGTGTTGGTGTGGGACATGGTATGTGTTTGTGGGACATGGTATGTGTTGGTGTGGGATGTGGTATGTGTTGGTGTGGGACATGGTATGTGTTGGTGTGGTATGTGGTATGTGTTGGTGTGGGACATGGTATGTGTTGGTGTGGGACATGGTATGTGTTGGTGTGGGACATGGTATGTGTTGGTGTGGGACATGGTATGTGTTGGTGTGGTATGTGGTATGTGTTGGTGTGGGACATGGTATGTGTTGGTGTGGGACATGGTATGTGTTGGTGTGGGACATGGTATGTGTTGGTGTGGGACATGGTATGTGTTGGTGTGGGACGTGGTATGTGTTGGTGTGGGACGTGGTATGTGTTGGTGTGGGATGTGTTGGTGTGGGACACGGTATGTGTGGGATGTGGTATGTGTTGGTGTGGGATGTGGTATGTGTTGGTGTGGGACATGGTATGTGTTGGTGTGGGATGTGGTATGTGTTGGTGTGGTATGTGTTGGTGTGGGATGTGGTATGTGTTGGTGTGGTATGTGGTATGTGTTGGTGTGGTATGTGTTGGTGTGGTATGTGTTGGTGTGGGATGTGGTATGTGTTGGTGTGGGATGTGTTGGTGTGGGATGTGGTATGTGTTGGTGTGGTATGTGTTGGTGTGGTATGTGGTATGTGTTGGTGTGGGATGTGGTATGTGTTGGTGTGGGATGTGGTATGTGTTGGTGTGGTATGTGGTATGTGTTTGTGTGGGACATGGTATGTGTTGGCGTGGGATGTGTTGGTGTGGGACATGGTTTGTGTTGGTGTGGTATGTGGTATGTGTTGGTGTGGGACGTGGTATGTGTTGGTGTTGGTGTGGTATGTGTTGGTGTGGGACATGGTATATGTTGGTGTGGGACATGGTTTGTGTTGGTGTGGGACATGGTATGTGTTGGTGTGGGACATGGTTTGTGTTGGTGTGGGACATGGTATGTGTTGGTGTGGTATGTGTTGGTGTGGGATGTGGTATGTGTTGGTGTGGGATGTGGTATGTGTTGGTGTGGGACATGGTATGTGTTGGTGTGGTATGTGTTGGTGTGGGATGTGGTATGTGTTGGTGTAGGACATGGTATGTGTTGGTGTGGGATGTGGTATGTATTGGTGTGGGATGTGGTATGTGTTGGTGTGGGATGTGGTATGTGTTGGTGTGGGATGTGGTATGTGTTGGTGTGGGATGTGGTATGTGTTGGTGTGGGATGTGGTATGTGTGGGATGTGGTATGTGGTATGTGTGGGATGTGGTATGTGTTGGTGTGGGACATGGTATGTGTTGGTGTGGTATGTGGTATGTGTTGGTGTGGGATGTGGTATGTGTTGGTGTGGGATGTGGTATGTGTTGGTGTGGGATGTGGTATGTGTTGGTGTGGGATGTGGTATGTGTTGGTGTGGGACATGGTATGTGTTGGTGTGGTATGTGTTGGTGTGGGATGTGGTATGTGTTGGTGTGGGACATGGTATGTGTTGGTGTGGTATGTGGTATGTGTTGGTGTGGGACATGGTATGTGTTGGTGTGGGACATGGTATGTGTTGGTGTGGGATGTGGTATGTGTTGGTGTGGGACATGGTATGTGTTGGTGTGGGATGTGGTATGTGTTGGTGTGGGATGTGGTATGTGTTGGTGTGGGATGTGGTATGTGTTGGTGTGGGATGTGGTATGTGTTGGTGTGGGATGTGGTATGTGTTGGTGTGGTACATGGTATGTGTTGGTGTGGGACATGGTATGTGTTGGTGTGGGATGTGGTATGTGTTGGTGTGGGATGTGGTATGTGTTGGTGTGGTATGTGTTGGTGTGGGATGTGGTATGTGTTGGTGTGGGACATGGTATGTGTTGGTGTGGGACATGGTATGTGTTGGTGTGGGACATGGTATGTGTTGGTGTGGTATGTGGTATGTGTTGGTGTGGTATGTGGTATGTGTTGGTGTGGGACATGGTATGTGTTGGTGTGGGATGTGGTATGTGTTGGTGTGGGACATGGTATGTGTTGGTGTGGGACATGGTATGTGTTGGTGTGGGATGTGGTATGTGTTGGTGTGGGATGTGTTGGTGTTGGTGTGGGACATGGTATGTGTTGGTGTGGTATGTGTTGGTGTGGGATGTGGTATGTGTTGGTGTGGGATGTGGTATGTGTTGGTGTGGGATGTGGTATGTGTTGGTGTGGGACATGACAAGTACTTGGAATGGCTGGGGAATGGGATATTGGCATGGAAATCATCAATGGTCTCTAGTCAAACAGAAACTGGACCTATATCATGATACTCTTTATTTTCAGGAAGTGTGTCAGTATCTTCACTCTATTGGGGCCATTGAGAGCATCTGTTATGTCATGACCAATTCCCAGTGTCCACGAGCTACTGTAAGTTCACAGTTGTAAGTTTACTCACAGTTGTAAGTTTACTCACAGTTGTAAGTTTACTCACAGTTGTAAGTTTACTCACAGTTGTAAGTTTACTCACAGTTGTAAGTTTACTCACAGTTGTAAGTTTACTCACAGTTGTAAGTTTACTCACAGTTGTAAGTTTACTCACAGTTGTAAGTTTACTCACAGTTGTAAGTTTACTCACAGTTGTAAGTTTACTCACAGTTGTAAGTTTACTCACAGTTGTAAGTTTACTCACAGTTGTAAGTTTACTCACAGTTGTAAGTTTACTCACAGTTGTAAGTTTACTCACAGTTGTAAGTTTACTCACAGTTGTAAGTTTACTCACAGTTGTAAGTTTACTCACAGTTGTAAGTTTACTCACAGTTGTAAGTTTACTCACAGTTGTAAGTTTACTCACAGTTGTAAGTTTACTCACAGTTGTAAGTTTACTCACAGTTGTAAGTTTACTCACAGTTGTAAGTTTACTCACAGTTGTAAGTTTACTCACAGTTGTAAGTTTACTCACAGTTGTAAGTTTACTCACAGTTGTAAGTTTACTCACAGTTGTAAGTTTACTCACAGTTGTAAGTTTACTCACAGTTGTAAGTTTACTCACAGTTGTAAGTTTACTCACAGTTGTAAGTTTACTCACAGTTGTAAGTTTACTCACAGTTGTAAGTTTACTCACAGTTGTAAGTTTACTCACAGTTGTAAGTTTACTCACAGTTGTAAGTTTACTCACAGTTGTAAGTTTACTCACAGTTGTACATCAAATTGTTTTTTTCCCTGCAGGAAATGTGTGTGGGTATGCTGGCAAATATCATTTCTCATGATGAACTGTGGGCTCAACTCAAAGATGACTCCAATCTTTTGTAAGTGTTCCGTTTTTGGTGATGACCCCTTTTTATAAAAGTTAAGTGACCCATGACCCCCATACTATTGTAAAAGGCAAATGTAACACCATTAAAAATGAGAATTGAATTCTGGGTAATATTTGTATTAATTTACTCTTTAAGTTTTTGATCCATCAGAAAAGCTGACTGCTCCTTTTGGGGTCATGACCTATGGTTTTGAAACCTGAGGTCTAGACAGTCACTCTACTAACTCTTTAAGACCAGAACTAGGCTCCTAGTGCTCAACGCAGTCAATAAAATTTTCCTATTTCGGACCATTCCCATTAGTTTGCAAAGTATGTAGTTATTTATAGAGGTGAAGTTTGTCTGAATAGTCTTTATATATTTTAAAATTAAATAAAAACTAATTTTTATGTTAAAAAATTATTTTACCTAAAGTCAATTTAAAGCTTTCCAGACACACTCACCTCTGATGACAATGCAAAAATATATTTTTAAAAATCTAATTAATAAAAATTAGGTTAGTCATTAAAATATAATTTAAAATTACTAAATTAAATAAAAAAGGGGAGATAACATGATTAAATACTAGAAATGGTTCAATCAGTTAACAGACAATGTTGAAATTTTTGTCCCATCTGGTTGATTCACTGCTTGAAAGTCAACCGCAGACAAAGAAGGAGCAGATAATGGTCATTTTTAGGTTTTCATGGTATTGATGAGTTATAAAGCAAATATGTCTAGTCCTAGCCAATGTGGTGACTACTTCATTTAGAACAAATCACTAAAAAGTGGAAAATAAAACAATTATAAAAACCTTTAATAAGCTTTTAGTGCACTGAAAAAAAGAAAATAAAACAAATCGTCTATCTTTAATAAAAGATCCCTTCAATATTTTAGTAACCAAAGCTTTAATGAAATGTTTTTTTTGTATTTTTAGTACATTCAAAAGGTTATGATATTTGTTTTTATTTTATTTCATTTAGCATTGTTTTGATGATTTTTGTTTTTATTTTATTTCCTTTAGCATTGTTTTGATCCAGCTTTTGGAAAATACAGATCAGCCTGTTCTCCATGAAGTCATGAGGTCAAGTTTTTTACTGCTTTTTTCATTCTTTGATGTCAGAAACCCTGACACTTGCCAGATTGTAGAAACCCTGACACTTGCCAGATTGTAGAAACCATGACACTTGCCAGATTGTAGAAACCATGACACTTGCCAGATTGTAGAAACCATGACACTTGCCAGATTGTAGAAACCCTGACACTTGCCAGATTGTAGAAACCCTGACACTTGCCAGATTGTAGAAACCCTGAGACTTGCCAGATTGTAGAAACCCTGACACTTGCCAGATTGTAGAAACCCTGACACTTGCCAGATTGTAGAAACCCTGACACTTGCCAGATTGTAAAAACCCTGAGACTTGCCAGATTGTAGAAACCCTGACATTTGCCAGATGTCAACATGGATTTCATACTCCCCTCCCCTCAGTCCACAAAAGTTATGCTTACTGACCCTTGACCCCCTAAACCCATATCTGGATGGCCACTGTAAAACAAGCAAAAACATAATGAAGCTGAAGATTTAATAGTTAACTCAACATTTTGACTGCATCATGGGGTATCATTATTAAAATAAACATTTTGACTGCATCATGGGCTATCATTATTAAAATAAACATTTTGACTGCATCATGGGCTATCATTATTAAAATAAACATTTTGACTGCATCATGGGCTATCATTATTAAAATAAACATTTTGACTGCATCATGGGCTATCATTATTAAAAGAAACATTTTGACTGCATCATGGGCTATCATTATTAAAATAAACATTTTGACTGCATCATGGGCTATCATTATTAAAATAAACATTTTGACTGCATCATGGGGTATCATTAAAAATTCTGACTGCTATATGGGGATGATTATTTAAATTTTGACTGCATTATTGAGCCATAAATATTGAACTGAAGATTTGTATTCTACTGTGCAGGTTTTTCAATACTGCTTTGTGCCATAAAGATAATAGCTGCTGTTACCAAGGTCTGTGTGAGAATGGTCAGCTAGTCACCAGTGAGATGATTAGAATACTCTCAGGATCAACCAATGGTCAGTTGTGTCAAACCCCTGACAGGGCCCCAGCAGTCCAAGAAGTTGATGTTATCAAATCTCTGTACTACTCTAGCAATGGGTTTTCCCAATGAAAAGCTCCTATAAAACAGTGTCTGTTTATTTTCTATCTAAAAATATAGAGCCATATCAATGCAATACCATGACCCAGTAACCAATTTTTTAATCAGTTTGATAGCTTGACAGTTATCTGTGTCCGAAATAAGTTCTAACTGACATGAACCTACATTGGGATGACTGACATGAACCTATGGTTGACTGACATGAACCTATATTGGGTTGACTGACATGAACCTATATTGGGTTGACTGACATGAACCTACATTGGGTTGACTGACATGAACCTATGGTTGACTGACATGAACCTATATTGGGTTGACTGACATGAACCTATATTGGGTTGACTGACATGAACCTATGGTTGACTGACATGAACCTATGGTTGACTGACATGAACCTATGGTTGACTGACATGAACCTATGGTTGACTGACATGAACCTATGGTTGACTGACATGAACCTATGGTTGACTGACATGAAACTACTGGCAAAGATTTGAAGACCTGGCATGTTTTCAGCTGATCTGTTGAAGCAAGCTGCAGAACTGGCCTTGACCTTGATGTACATGGATGAGGATGAAACCAAGTTTTGTAACTTCTTCACTGAAGAGAGAGACTTTGTTCTGTCTGTTCTTGAAGCTTCAAAGGAAATAGGGTTTGTCTCTTTAAAAAATTGTAAGGAATAAACACTATGTATGTCCTACCATACAAGTGAACTCTACTTCACTTGCCCCATAGACCGTCAGGTATGAAAGGGAAACATTACATTACTATGCCCTACCTTAAGGCCATCCTGACATAAAACCACATTGTGAAATCATTTTGCATATATGTATTATAGATACGTGTAAGGTGATTGACATATAATTTACTAAAGCCACATGTAGGCATATTAGCTTATTATTTACTAAAGCCACATGTAGGCATATTAGCTTATTATTTACTAAAGCCACATGTAGGCATATTAGCTTATTATTTACTAAAGCCACATGTAGGCATATTAGCTTATTATTTACTAAAGCCACATGTAGGCAAATTAGCTTATTATTTACTAAAGCCACATGTAGGCATATTAGCTTATTATTTACTAAAGCCACATGTAGGCATATTAGCTTATTATTTACTAAAGCCACATGTAGGCATATTAGCTTATTATTTACTAAGTATTGTGTGACACTCAGGGACTTTAGTGTTGTGTGACACTCAGGGACTTTAGAGTTGTGTGACACTCAAAGACTTTAGTGTTGTGTGACACTCAGGGACTTTAGTGTTGTGTGACACTCAGGGACTTTAGAGTTGTGTGACACTCAGGGACTTTAGTGTTGTGTGACACTCAGGGACTTTAGTGTTGAGTGACACTCAGGGACTTTAGTGTTGTGTAACAAAGACTTTAGTGTTGTGTGACACTCAGGGACTTTAGTGTTGTGTGACACTCAGGGACTTTAGAGTTGTGTGACACTCAGGGACTTTAGTGTTGTGTGACACTCAAAGACTTTAGTGTTGTGTGACAAAGACTTTAGTGTTGTGTGACAAAGACTTTAGTGTTGTGTGACACTCAGGGACTTTAGTGTTGTGTGACACTCAGGGACTTTAGTGTTGTGTGACACTCAAAGACTTTAGTGTTGTGTGACACTCAGGGACTTTAGTGTTGTGTGACACTCAGGGACTTTAGAGTTGTGTGACACTCAGGGACTTTAGTGTTGTGTGACACTCAGGGACTTTAGTGTTGTGTGACACTCAGGGACTTTAGTGTTGTGTGACACACAGGGACTTTAGTGTTGTGTGACAAAGACTTTAGTGTTGTGTGACACTCAGGGACTTTAGTGTTGTGTGACACTCAGGGACTTTAGAGTTGTGTGACACTCAGGGACTTTAGTGTTGTGTGACAAAGACTTAAGTGTTGTGTGACACTCAGGGACTTTAGTGTTGTGTGACACTCAGGGACTTTAGTGTTGTGTGACAAAGTCTTTAGTGTTGTGTGACACTCAGGGACTTTAGTGTTGTGTGACACTCAGGGACTTTGGAGTTGTGTGACACTCAGGGACTTTAGTGTTGTGTGACAAAGACTTAAGTGTTGTGTGACACTCAGGGACTTTAGTGTTGTGAGACACTCAGGGACTTTAGTGTTGTGTGACACTCAGGGACTTTAGTGTTGTGTGACACTCAGGGACTTTAGTGTTGTGTGACAAAGACTTTAGTGTTGTGTGACACTCAAAGACTTTAGTGTTGTGTGACAAAGACTTTAGTGTTGTGTGACACTCAGGGACTTTAGTGTTGTGTGACACTCAGGGACTTTAGAGTTGTGTGACACTCAGGGACTTTAGTGTTGTGTGACAAAGACTTAAGTGTTGTGTGACACTCAGGGACTTTAGTGTTGTGTGACACTCAGGGACTTTAGTGTTGTGTGACAAAGTCTTTAGTGTTGTGTGACACTCAGGGACTTTAGTGTTGTGTGACACTCAGGGACTTTAGAGTTGTGTGACACTCAGGGACTTTAGTGTTGTGTGACAAAGACTTAAGTGTTGTGTGACACTCAGGGACTTTAGTGTTGTGAGACACTCAGGGACTTTAGTGTTGTGTGACACTCAGGGACTTTAGTGTTGTGTGACACTCAGGGACTTTAGTGTTGTGTGACAAAGACTTTAGTGTTGTGTGACACTCAAAGACTTTAGTGTTGTGTGACAAAGACTTTAGTGTTGTGTGACACTCAGGGACTTTAGTGTTGTGTGACAAAGACTTTAGTGTTGTGTGACACTCAGGGACTTTAGTGTTGTGTGACACTCAGGGACTTTAGTGTTGTGTGACACTCAGGGACTTTAGTGTTGTGTGACACTCAGGGACTTTAGTGTTGTGTGACACTCAAAGACTTTAGTGTTGTGTGACACTCAGGGACTTTAGTGTCGTGTGACACTCAGGGACTTTAGTGTTGTGTGACACTCAGGGACTTTAGTGTTGTGTGACACTCAGGGACTTTAGTGTTGTGTGACACTCAGGGACTTTAGTGTTGTGTGACAAAGACTTTAGTGTTGTGTGACACTCAAAGACTTTAGTGTTGTGTGACACTCAGGGACTTTAGTGTTGTGTGACACTCAGTGAATTTAGTGTTGTGTGACACTCAGGGACTTTAGTGTTGTGTGACACTCAGGGACTTTAGTGTTGTGTGACAAAGACTTTAGTGTTGTGTGACACTCAGGGACTTTAGTGTTGTGTGACACTCAGGGACTTTAGTGTTGTGTAACAAAGACTTTAGTGTTGTGTGACAAAGACTTTAGTGTTGTGTGACACTCAGGGACTTTAGTGTTGTGTGACACTCAGGGACTTTAGTGTTGAGTGACACTCAGGGACTTTAGTGTTGTGTGACACTCAGGGACTTTAATGTTGTGTGACACTCAAAGACTTTAGTGTTGTGTGACACTCAGGGACTTTAGTGTTGTGTGACACTCAGGGACTTTAGTGTTGTGTGACACTGCTGGTTGATCTAACGACTTTGATTTCTCCCAGCTATGAGCATGAATCATCAGGACAGAATTCTATCATGAACATCTTCCATTTGTTTACAACATATCATGCTGGCATATTGGCTTTAGGTGAGTGGAGGGGGTGTATGTTGACATGTTTCAGAATGTCATGTGTCATGTGTTCTAATGACATGTTTCAGAATGTCATGTGTCATGTGTGTTCTAATGACATGTTTCAGAATGTCATGTGTTCTAATGACATGTTTCAGAATGTCATGTGTTCTAATGACATGTTTCAGAATGTCATGTGTTCTAATGACATGTTTCAGAATGTCATGTGTTCTAATGACATGTTTTAGAACATCATGTGTCATGTGTTCTAATGACATGTTACAGAATGTCATGTGTCATGTGTTCTAATGATATGTTTCAGAGTGTCATGTGTTCTAATGACATGTTTCAGAATGCTGTGTGTGTCATGTGTTCTAATAACATGTTTCAGAATGTCATGTGTCATGTGTTCTAATGACATGTTTCAGAATGTCATGTGTCATGTGTTCTAATGACATGTTACAGAATGTCATGTGTTCTAATGACATGTTTCAGAATGTCATGTGTTCTAATGACATGTTTCAGAATGTCATGTGTTCTAATGACATGTTTTAGAACATCATGTGTCATGTGTTCTAATGACATGTTACAGAATGTCATGTGTCATGTGTTCTAATGATATGTTTCAGAGTGTCATGTTTTCTAATGACATGTTTCAGAATGTTGTGTATGTCATGTGCCATGTGTTCTAATGACATGTTTCAGAATGTCATGTGTTCTAATGACATGTTTCAGAATGTCATGTGTTCTAATGACATGTTTCAGAATGTCATGTGTTCTAATGACATGTTTCAGAATGTAATGTGTCATGTGTTCTAATGACATGTTTCAGAATGTCATGTGTCATGTGTTCTAATGACATGTTTCAGAATGTCATGTGTTCTAATAACATGTTTCAGAATGTCATGTGTCATGTGTTCTAATGACATGTTTCAGAATGTACTGTGTCATGTGTGTTCTAATGACATGTTTTAGAATGCTGTGTATGTCATGTGCCATGTGTTCTAATGACATGTTTCAGAATGTCATGTGTTTTAATGACATATTTCAGAATGTCATGTGTCATGTGTTCTAATGACATGTTTCAGAATGTCATGTGTTATAATGACATGTTTCAGAATGTCATGTGTCATGTGTTCTAATGACATGTTTCAGAATGTCATGTGTTCTAATGACATGTTTCAGAATGTCATGTGTCATGTGTTCTAATGACATGTTTCAGAATGACATGTGTTCTAATGACATGTTTCAGAATGTCATGTGTTCTAATGACATGTTTCAGAATGTCATGTGTTCTAATGACATGTTTCGGAATGTCATGTGTTCTAATGACATGTTTCAGAATGTCATGTGTTCTAATGACATGTTTCAGAATGTCATGTGTTCTAATGACATGTTTCAGAAAGTCATGTGTCATGTGTTCTAATGACATATTTCAGAATGCTGTACTGGTGAGGTGGCTGAGGCGGCCTTGACCTACCTCAAGTTTCTGTGTAAGAGTTTAAACCTCAGCAAAGATGGCGTCATCATCACCACCATAGTGGCCACCCTCCACCACATCTTCTCCAGACACGCCCTGCTGCGCCTGGAGCTCATCTCATGTAAGTCAAGCCAAGAACCTGATCACTGCCTTCAATAATCTGACACATTGAGTTGATAAGTTGATAGATATACATCTAGTTGATAAGTTGACACATCGAGTTGATAAGTTGACACATTGAGTTGATAAGTAGACACATTGAGTTGATAAGTTGATAGATATACATCAAGTTGATAAGTTGACACATCAAGTTGATAAGTTGACACATCAAGTTGATAAGTTGATGCATCGAGTTGATAAGTTGATAGATATACATCTAGTTGATAAGTTGATAGATATACATCTAGTTGATAAGTTGATATATATACATCTAGTTGATAAGTTGATAGATATACATCTAGTTGATAAGTTAATAGATATACATCTAGTTGATAAGTGGATAGATATACATCTAGTTGATAAGTTGATAGATATACATCTAGTTGATAAGTTGATAGATATACATCTAGTTGATAAGTTGATAGATATACATCTAGTTGATAAGTTAATAGATATACATCTAGTTGATAAGTTGATAGATATACATCTAGTTGATAAGTTGATAGATATACTTCTAGTTGATAAGTTGATAGATATACATCTAGTTGATAAGTTGATAGACATACATCTAGTTGATAAGTTGATAGATATACATCTATGTATGTCAACCCATCTCATGTATATCAACCCAGCACCTACTCATTACAAATTTTAAAAAAATGATTATGTCACAAAGAGACATCCCATACACATACATGGATAGTAGAGCATGTGTAGCTAGACATACATAGAGCATGTATAGCTAGGTCTGATGATTCTCTCATTCCATTACAACATCACCTGAAGCAGAGGTGTAACTTGTCCACTTAAACCTATTGTTCTATCCCCTAGGTTTGTCCACTTAAACCTATTGTTCTATCCCCTAGGTTTGTCCACCTAAACCTATTGTTCTATCCCCTAGGTTTGTCCACTTAAACCTATTGTTCTACCCCCTAGGTTTGTCCACTTAAACCTATTGTTCTATCCCCTAGGTTTGTCCACTTAAACCTATTGTTCTACCCCCCTAGGTTTGTCCACTTAAACCTATTGTTCTATCCCCTAGGTTTGTCCACTTAAACCTATTGTTCTATCCCCTAGGTTTGTCCACTTAAACCTATTGTTCTAGCCCCTAGGTTTGTCCACTTAAACCTATTGTTCTATCCCCTAGGTTTGTCCACTTAAACCTATTGTTCTATCCCCTAGGTTTGTCCACTTAAACCTATTGTTCTACCCCCTAGATTTGTCCACTTAAACCTATTGTTCTATCCCCTAGGTTTGTCCACTTAAACCTATTGTTCTATCCCCTAGGTTTGTCCACTTAAACCTATTGTTCTATCCCCTAGGTTTGTCCACTTAAACCTATTGTTCTACCCCCCTAGGTTTGTCCACTTAAACCTATTGTTCTATCCCCTAGGTTTGTCCACTTAAACCTATTGTTCTATCCCCTAGGTTTGTCCACTTAAACCTATTGTTCTACCCCCCTAGGTTTGTCCACTTAAACCTATTGTTCTATCCCCTAGGTTTGTCCACTTAAACCTATTGTTCTATCCCCTAGGTTTGTCCACCTAAACCTATTGTTCTATCCCCTAGGTTTGTCCACTTAAACCTATTGTTCTATCCCCTAGGTTTGTCCACTTAAACCTATTGTTCTATCCCCTAGGTTTGTCAACCTAAACCTATTGTTCTACCCCCTAGGTTTGTCCACTTAAACCTATTGTTCTATCCCCTAGGTTTGTCCACTTAAACCTATTGTTCTACCCCCCTAGGTTTGTCCACTTAAACCTATTGTTCTATCCCCTAGGTTTGTCCACTTAAACCTATTGTTCTATCCCCTAGGTTTGTCCACTTAAACCTATTGTTCTACCCCCCTAGGTTTGTCCACTTAAACCTATTGTTCTATCCCCTAGGTTTGTCCACTTAAACCTATTGTTCTATCCCCTAGGTTTGTCCACTTAAACCTATTGTTCTATCCCCTAGGTTTGTCCACTTAAACCTATTGTTCTATCCCCTAGGTTTGTCCACTTAAACCTATTGTTCTATCCCCTAGGTTTGTCCACTTAAACCTATTGTTCTACCCCCCTAGGTTTGTCCACTTAAACCTATTGTTCTATCCCCTAGGTTTGTCCACTTAAACCTATTGTTCTACCCCCCTAGGTTTGTCCACTTAAACCTATTGTTCTACCCCCCTAGGTTTGTCCACTTAAACCTATTGTTCTATCCCCCTAGGTTTGTCCACTTAAACCTATTGTTCTATCCCCTAGGTTTGTCCACTTAAACCTATTGTTCTACCCCCCTAGGTTTGTCCACTTAAACCTATTGTTCTATCCCCTAGGTTTGTCCACTTAAACCTATTGTTCTACCCCCTAGGTTTGTCCACTTAAACCTATTGTTCTATCCCCTAGGTTTGTCCACTTAAACCTATTGTTCTATCCCCTAGGTTTGTCCACTTAAACCTATTGTTCTATCCCCTAGGTTTGTCCACTTAAACCTATTGTTCTATCCCCTAGGTTTGTCCACTTAAACCTATTGTTCTATCCCCTAGGTTTGTCCACTTAAACCTATTGTTCTACCCCCCTAGGTTTGTCCACTTAAACCTATTGTTCTATCCCCTAGGTTTGTCCACTTAAACCTATTGTTCTATCCCCTAGGTTTGTCCACTTAAACCTATTGTTCTATCCCCTAGGTTTGTCCACTTAAACCTATTGTTCTATCCCCTAGGTTTGTCCACTTAAACCTATTGTTCTATCCCCTAGGTTTGTCCACTTAAACCTATTGTTCTATCCCCTAGATTAGTCCACTTAAACCTATTGTTCTATCCCCTAGATTAGTCCACTTAAACCTATTGTTCTATCCCCTAGGTTTGTCCACTTAAACCTATTGTTCTATCCCCTAGGTTTGTCCACTTAAACCTATTGTTCTACCCCCCTAGGTTTGTCCACTTAAACCTATTGTTCTATCCCCTAGGTTTGTCCACTTAAACCTATTGTTCTATCCCCTAGGTTTGTCAACCTAAACCTATTGTTCTACCCCCCTAGGTTTGTCCACTTAAACCTATTGTTCTATCCCCTAGGTTTGTCCACTTAAACCTATTGTTCTATCCCGTAGGTTTGTCCACCTAAACCTATTGTTCTACCCCCCAGCCCCCTGGTTCGCCCACTGTATCCTGAAGAGTCTAGTGGCAGTCTACAGGAAGCTGGGCTGGTACAAGACAATCTCAGGTTTTGAGAAGCAGACAGAAAACTGCCAGGACAAGAAGACTGACCAGTCCAGGCCTGCTACGTCGTGGTCAGACAGAGCTGAGCGTGAGCAGGCCAGTCGCTTCCACACACCAGACCCCAGTCCCAGACACGCAGCACTGGACACCTCCTGGTCAGAGAGGAGAGTCATGTCCCCCCTGTTAGACGAGCAGTTTGTGGAAGAGAGTTGGAAGAAACCCCAGGAGAAGAAAAAACTTAAGAAAAAACTTGCTGACAAGGGAGGGGGCAGAGACCAAAGTTCAGGGGGAGGTGAAAGGTCAGCCTTAAGTTCAGGGGGAGGTGATAGGTCAGCCTTAAGTTCAGGGGGAGGTGAAAGGTCAGCTTTAAGTTCAGGGGGAGGTGATAGGTCAGCCTTAAGTTCAGGGGGAGGTGAAAGGTCAGCTTTAAGTTCAGGGGGAGGTGATAGGTCAGCCTTAAGAATACTGCAGGGGGAGAGGTGCTCAGGGAGCCGGAGGTCGGAGGGTTTTTCTCCACAGAAAAACTTTGAGGAGATGGACACAGAGAAAACTGATGAGTTCAAAGGTCAGAGTGCGCAGGCTGGCCATGAGCAGCTGGAGCCATCCAGTCAGACAACCAAAGATGTCAGCGGTCAACTGGTCAGCCCGGCTAAGTGTGTGTCCAGTAGTGAGGACAAGGCTGTGGAGGAGGAGGATGTGGCCACCAGCAGGGCCAAGTACCACAAGCTCCTTGACACCATCAGGGAGTTCTTAGCTGACTACTGCAGCAACATGAGGGAGGTAGGTTCTGATACCATTAGCTCTACTTCACTCTCCATCAAGTTTTGTTTCTCTGTCAAGTTTTAGTCTCTTTGTCAAGTTTTATTCTCTCCGTCAAGTTTTAGTCTCTCTGTCAAGTCTCTCTGTCAAGTTTTAGTCTCTCTGTCAAGTTTTAGTCTCTCTGTCAAGTTTTAGTCTCTCTGTCAAGTTTTAGTATCTCTGTCAAGTTTTAGTATCTCTGTCAAGTTTTAGTCTCTCTGTCAAGTTTTAGTATCTCTGTCAAGTTTTAGTATCTCTGTCAAGTTTTAGTATCTCTGTCAAGTTTTAGTATCTCTGTCAAGTCTCTGTCAAATTTTATTCTCCCCATCAAGTTTTATTCTTCCCGTCAAGTTTAAGTCTCTCAGCAAATTTTATTCTCTCCGTCAAGTTTTTGTCTCTCTGTCAAGTTTAATTCTCCCCGTCAAGTTTTATTCTCCCCGTCAAGTTTTATTCTCCCCGTCAAGTTTAATTCTCCCCGTCAAGTTTTATTCTTCCCGTCAAGTTTTATTCTCCCTGTCAAGTTTTATTCTCCCCGTCAAGTTTTATTCTCCCCGTCAAGTTTAATTCTCCCCGTCAAGTTTTATTCTTCCCGTCAAGTTTTATTCTCCCCGTCAAGTTTTATTCTCCCCGTCAAGTTTAATTCTCCCCGTCAAGTTTTAGTCTCCCTGTCAAGTTTTAGTCTCCCCGTCAAGTTTTATTCTCCCCATCAAGTTTTAGTCTCCCCGTCAAGTTTTAGTCTCCCCGTCAAGTTTTATTCTTCCCGTCAAGTTTAAGTCTCTCAGCAAATTTTATTCTCTCCGTCAAGTTTTTGTCTCTCTGTCAAGTTTAATTCTCCCCGTCAAGTTTTATTCTCCCCGTCAAGTTTTATTCTCCCCGTCAAGTTTAATTCTCCCCGTCAAGTTTTATTCTTCCCGTCAAGTTTTATTCTCCCTGTCAAGTTTTATTCTCCCCGTCAAGTTTTATTCTCCCCGTCAAGTTTAATTCTCCCCGTCAAGTTTTATTCTTCCCGTCAAGTTTTATTCTCCCCGTCAAGTTTTATTCTCCCCGTCAAGTTTAATTCTCCCCGTCAAGTTTTAGTCTCCCCGTCAAGTTTTATTCTCCCCGTCAAGTTTTATTCTCCCCGTCAAGTTTTAGTCTCCCCGTCAAGTTTTATTCTCCCTGTCAAGTTTTAGTCTTCCCATCAAGTTTTAGTCTCCCCGTCAAGTCCCTCCGTCAAGTTTAATTCTCCCCGTCAAGTTTTAGTCTCCCTGTCAAGTTTTAGTCTCCCCGTCAAGTCCCTCCGTCAAGTTTAATTCTCCCCGTCAAATTTTAGTCTCCCTGTCAAGTTTTATTCTCCCCGTCAAGTTTTATTCTCCCCGTCAAGTTTTAGTCTCCCTGTCAAGTTTTAGTCTCCCCGTCAAGTTTTATTCTCCCCATCAAGTTTTAGTCTCCCCGTCAAGTTTTAGTCTCCCCGTCAAGTTTTAGTCTCCCCGTCAAGTTTTAGTCTCCCTGTCAAGTTTTAGTCTCCCCGTCAAGTTTTATTCTCCCCATCAAGTTTTAGTCTCCCCGTCAAGTTTTAGTCTCCCCGTCAAGTCCCTCCATCAAGTTTTATTCTCCCCATCAAGTTTTAGTCTCCCCGTCAAGTTTTAGTCTCCCCGTCAAGTTTTAGTCTCCCCGTCAAGTTTTAGTCTCCCCGTCAAGTTTTATTCTCCCCATCAAGTTTTAGTCTCCCCGTCAAGTTTTATTCTCCCCATCAAGTTTTAGTCTCCCCATCAAGTTTTATTCTCCCCGTCAAGTTTTAGTCTCCCCGTCAAGTTTTAGTCTCCCCGTCAAGTTTTAGTCTCCCCGTCAAGTTTTAGTCTCCCTGTCAAGTTTTATTCTCCCCGTCAAGTTTTATTCTCCCCATCAAGTTTTAGTCTCCCCGTCAAGTTTTAGTCTCCCCGTCAAGTTTTAGTCTCCCCATCAAGTTTTAGTCTCCCCGTCAAGTTTTAGTCTCCCCGTCAAGTTTTAGTCTCCCCGTCAAGTCCCTCCATCAAGTTTTATTCTCCCCATCAAGTTTTAGTCTCCCCGTCAAGTTTTAGTCTCCCTGTCAAGTTTTATTCTCCCCGTCAAGTTTTATTCTCCCCATCAAGTTTTAGTCTCCCCGTCAAGTTTTAGTCTCCCCGTCAAGTTTTAGTCTCCCCATCAAGTTTTAGTCTCCCCGTCAAGTTTTAGTCTCCCCGTCAAGTTTTAGTCTCCCCGTCAAGTCCCTCCATCAAGTTTTATTCTCCCCGTCAAGTTTTAGTCTCCCCGTCAAGTTTTAGTCTCCCTGTCAAGTTTTAGTCTCCCCGTCAAGTTTTATTCTCCCCATCAAGTTTTAGTCTCCCCGTCAAGTTTTAGTCTCCCCGTCAAGTCCCTCCATCAAGTTTTATTCTCCCCATCAAGTTTTAGTCTCCCCGTCAAGTTTTAGTCTCCCCGTCAAGTTTTAGTCTCCCCGTCAAGTTTTAGTCTCCCCGTCAAGTTTTATTCTCCCCATCAAGTTTTAGTCTCCCCGTCAAGTTTTATTCTCCCCATCAAGTTTTAGTCTCCCCATCAAGTTTTATTCTCCCCGTCAAGTTTTAGTCTCCCCGTCAAGTTTTAGTCTCCCCGTCAAGTTTTAGTCTCCCCGTCAAGTTTTAGTCTCCCTGTCAAGTTTTATTCTCCCCGTCAAGTTTTATTCTCCCCATCAAGTTTTAGTCTCCCCGTCAAGTTTTATTCTCCCCGTCAAGTTTTAGTCTCCCCGTCAAGTTTTAGTCTCCCCGTCAAGTCCCTCCATCAAGTTTTATTCTCCCCATCAAGTTTTAGTCTCCCCGTCAAGTTTTAGTCTCCCCGTCAAGTTTTAGTCTCCCTGTCAAGTTTTATTCTCCCCGTCAAGTTTTATTCTCCCCATCAAGTTTTAGTCTCCCCGTCAAGTTTTAGTCTCCCCGTCAAGTTTTAGTCTCCCCGTCAAGTTTTATTCTCCCCATCAAGTTTTAGTCTCCCCGTCAAGTTTTAGTCTCCCCGTCAAGTTTTAGTCTCCCCGTCAAGTTTTAGTCTCCCCGTCAAGTCCCTCCATCAAGTTTAATTCTCCCCATCAAGTTTTAGTCTCCCCGTCAAGTTTTAGTCTCCCCGTCAAGTTTTATTCTCCCCATCAAGTTTTAGTCTCCCCGTCAAGTTTTAGTCTCCCCGTCAAGTCCCTCCATCAAGTTTTATTCTCCCCATCAAGTTTTAGTCTCCCCGTCAAGTTTTAGTCTCCCCGTCAAGTTTTATTCTCCCCATCAAGTTTTAGTCTCCCCATCAAGTTTTAGTCTCCCCGTCAAGTTTTAGTCTCCCCGTCAAGTTTTATTCTCCCCATCAAGTTTTAGTCTCCCCGTCAAGTTTTAGTCTCCCTGTCAAGTTTTAGTCTCCCCGTCAAGTTTTAGTCTCCCTGTCAAGTTTTAGTCTCCCTGTCAAGTTTTAGTCTCCCCGTCAAGTTTTAGTCTCCCCGTCAAGTTTTAGTCTCCCCGTCAAGTTTTAGTCTCCCCGTCAAGTTTTAGTCTCCCTGTCAAGTTTTAGTCTCCCCATCAAGTTTTAGTCTCCCCATCAAGTTTTAGTCTCCCCGTCAAGTCCCTCCATCAAGTTTTATTCTCCCCGTCAAGTTTTAGTCTCCCCATCAAGTTTTATTCTCCCCGTCAAGTCCCTCCACCTTGTCCCCAGAGCTTGCTGAGAGATGACCAGGTGCCGTGTGTGACTGAGCTGATGAGATACTTAAACAAACAGTGCAGCAGCACTGAGATACGTGCCATTGTCTTGTGTCTTGGACCAGACACGGAGCCCAGCCAGCCCCTGGGGAGGCTGCTCAAACTGGCGGAACATTTCAAGGCCCAGCGCTTCAAGGCTCTGCTGGAGGAGATGGTCAGCAGGCTCAAGCAGCGCTCACCACAATAAAAGATTGAGACCACTCAGTGTCTATGGCTTGTCTGTCTGGTTAAGGTTTGCTTTAATAGAAGCTAGCACTGGTGGTAGAGTTGATAGTATGGTGGTTATCAAGTGTAGGTTTGCTTTAATAGAAGCTAGCACTGGTGGTAGAGTTGATAGTGTGGTGGTTATCAAGTGTAGGTTTGCTTTAATAGAAGCTAGCACTGGTGGTAGAGTTGATAGTATGGTGGTTATCAAGTGTAGGTTTGGTTTAATAGAAGCTAGCACTGGTGGTAGAGTTGATAGTATGGTGGTTATCAAGTGTAGGTTTGCTTTAATAGAAGCTAGCACTGGTGGTAGAGTTGATAGTGTGGTGGTTATCAAGTGTAGGTTTGCTTTAATAGAAGCTAGCATTGTTGGTAGAGTCGATAGTGTGGTGGTTATCAAGTGTAGGTTTGGTTTAATAGAAGCTAGCACTGCTTGTAGAGTTGATAGTGCGGTGGTTATCAAGTGTAGGTTTGGTTTAATAGAAGCTAGCATTGGTGGTAGAGTCGATAGTGTGGTGGTTATCTAGTGTAGGTTTGGTTTAATAGAAGCTAGCATTGGTGGTAGAGTCGATAGTGTGGTGGTTATCAAGTGTAGGTTTGCTTTAATAGAAGCTAGCATTGTTGGTAGAGTCGATAGTGCGGTGGTTATCAAGTGTAGGTTTGCTTTAATAGAAGCTAGCATTGTTGGTAGAGTCGATAGTGTGGTGGTTATCAAGTGTAGGTTTGGTTTAATAGAAGCTAGCACTGGTGGTAGAGTCGATAGTGTGGTGGTTATCAAGTGTAGGTTTGCTTTAATAGAAGCTAGCATTGGTGGTAGAGTCGATAGTGTGGTGGTTATCAAGTGTAGGTTTGGTTTAATAGAAGCTAGCACTGGTGGTAGAGTCGATAGTGTGGTGGTTATCAAGTGTAGGTTTGCTTTAATAGAAGCTAGCATTGGTGGTAGAGTTGATAGTGTGGTGGTTATCAAGTGTAGGTTTGCTTTAATAGAAGCTAGCACTGGTGGTAGAGTCGATAGTGTGGTGGTTATCAAGTGTAGGTTTGGTTTAATAGAAGCTAGCATTGTTGGTAGAGTCGATAGTGTGGTGGTTATCAAGTGTAGGTTTGGTTTAATAGAAGCTAGCACTGGTGGTAGAGTCGATAGTGTGGTGGTTATCAAGTGTAGGTTTGCTTTAATAGAAGCTAGCATTGGTGGTAGAGTTGATAGTGTGGTGGTTATCAAGTGTAGGTTTGCTTTAATAGAAGCTAGCATTGTTGGTAGAGTCGATAGTGCGGTGGTTATCAAGTGTAGGTTTGCTTTAATAGAAGCTAGCATTGTTGGTAGAGTCGTTAGTGTGGTGGTTATCAAGTGTAGGTTTGCTTTAATAGAAGCTAGCATTGGTGGTAGAGTCGATAGTGTGGTGGTTATCAAGTGTAGGTTTGCTTTAATAGAAGCTAGCATTGGTGGTAGAGTCGATAGTGTGGTGGTTATCAAGTGTAGGTTTGGTTTAATAGAAGCTAGCATTGTTGGTAGAGTCGATAGTGTGGTGGTTATCAAGTGTAGGTTTGGTTTAATAGAAGCTAGCACTGGTGGTAGAGTCGATAGTGCGGTGGTTATCAAGTGTAGGTTTGCTTTAATAGAAGCTAGCATTGGTGGTAGAGTTGATAGTGTGGTGGTTATCAAGTGTAGGTTTGGTTTAATAGAAGCTAGCATTGTTGGTAGAGTCGATAGTGTGGTGGTTATCAAGTGTAGGTTTGCTTTAATAGAAGCTAGCATTGGTGGTAGAGTTGATAGTGTGGTGGTTATCAAGTGTAGGTTTGCTTTAATAGAAGCTAGCATTGGTGGTAGAGTCGATAGTGCGGTGGTTATCAAGTGTAGGTTTGGTTTAATAGAAGCTAGCATTGGTGGTAGAGTTGATAGTGTGGTGGTTATCAAGTGTAGGTTTGCTTTAATAGAAGCTAGCATTGTTGGTAGAGTCGATAGTGTGGTGGTTATCAAGTGTAGGTTTGGTTTAATAGAAGCTAGCATTGTTGGTAGAGTCGATAGTGCGGTGGTTATCAAGTGTAGGTTTGCTTTAATAGAAGCTAGCATTGTTGGTAGAGTCGATAGTGTGGTGGTTATCAAGTGTAGGTTTGGTTTAATAGAAGCTAGCATTGTTGGTAGAGTTGATAGTGTGGTGGTTATCAAGTGTAGGTTTGGTTTAATAGAAGCTAGCACTGGTGGTAGAGTTGATAGTGTGGTGGTTATCAAGTGTAGGTTTGGTTTAATAGAAGCTAGCATTGGTGGTAGAGTCGATAGTGTGGTGGTTATCTAGTGTAGGTTTGGTTTAATAGAAGCTAGCATTGTTGGTAGAGTCGATAGTGTGGTGGTTATCAAGTGTAGGTTTGGTTTAATAGAAGCTAGCATTGTTGGTAGAGTCGATAGTGCGGTGGTTATCAAGTGTAGGTTTGCTTTAATAGAAGCTAGCATTGTTGGTAGAGTCGATAGTGTGGTGGTTATCAAGTGTAGGTTTGCTTTAATAGAAGCTAGCATTGGTGGTAGAGTCGATAGTGTGGTGGTTATCAAGTGTAGGTTTGGTTTAATAGAAGCTAGCATTGTTGGTAGAGTTGATAGTGTGGTGGTTATCAAGTGTAGGTTTGCTTTAATAGAAGCTAGCATTGGTGGTAGAGTTGATAGTGTGGTGGTTATCAAGTGTAGGTTTGCTTTAATAGAAGCTAGCATTGGTGGTAGAGTTGATAGTGTGGTGGTTATCAAGTGTAGGTTTGCTTTAATAGAAGCTAGCATTGGTGGTAGAGTCGATAGTGCGGTGGTTATCAAGTGTAGGTTTGCTTTAATAGAAGCTAGCATTGGTGGTAGAGTCGATAGTGTGGTGGTTATCAAGTGTAGGTTTGGTTTAATAGAAGCTAGCATTGTTGGTAGAGTTGATAGTGTGGTGGTTATCAAGTGTAGGTTTGCTTTAATAGAAGCTAGCATTGGTGGTAGAGTTGATAGTGTGGTGGTTATCAAGTGTAGGTTTGCTTTAATAGAAGCTAGCATTGGTGGTAGAGTTGATAGTGTGGTGGTTATCAAGTGTAGGTTTGCTTTAATAGAAGCTAGCATTGGTGGTAGAGTCGATAGTGCGGTGGTTATCAAGTGTAGGTTTGCTTTAATAGAAGCTAGCATTGTTGGTAGAGTCGATAGTGTGGTGGTTATCAAGTGTAGGTTTGGTTTAATAGAAGCTAGCATTGTTGGTAGAGTCGATAGTGTGGTGGTTATCAAGTGTAGGTTTGGTTTAATAGAAGCTAGCATTGTTGGTAGAGTCGATAGTGTGGTGGTTATCAAGTGTAGGTTTGGTTTAATAGAAGCTAGCATTGTTGGTAGAGTCGATAGTGCGGTGGTTATCAAGTGTAGGTTTGCTTTAATAGAAGCTAGCATTGGTGGTAGAGTTGATAGTGTGGTGGTTATCAAGTGTAGGTTTGCTTTAATAGAAGCTAGCACTGGTGGTAGAGTTGATAGTGCGGTGGTTATCAAGTGTAGGTTTGCTTTAATAGAAGCTAGCATTGTTGGTAGAGTCGATAGTGTGGTGGTTATCAAGTGTAGGTTTGGTTTAATAGAAGCTAGCATTGTTGGTAGAGTCGATAGTGCGGTGGTTATCAAGTGTAGGTTTGCTTTAATAGAAGCTAGCATTGTTGGTAGAGTCGATAGTGTGGTGGTTATCAAGTGTAGGTTTGGTTTAATAGAAGCTAGCATTGTTGGTAGAGTTGATAGTGTGGTGGTTATCAAGTGTAGGTTTGGGTGGTTAGGGCTAGGGATAATCTCAGAAAATAATAGCAATGATTTTTGTAGAGCAAATAATCAGAATTTTAACTGAATTCATGAAATAGGCATCTTTGTACATATACATCTAATTTTGTGTAGATGTGTTTCTGTTTTTCCTCAGACTTTTCAGTCATACTGAAGAGGAAATGCTCAAGGTGCTTATATGCTCAGATCCTCTTAAGGAAATATAGGCCTACACTGTGCTTGTTTCCTCTCAGCTGTGAAAGGCTATATACTTATATCCTCGACTGAACTGAGGATCCAAGCACTAAGCATATTTCCTCTTTTATTCGCCAAAATAAGCAATATCCTATTTTCTGTCAACTCCGATCCATATTTAGCTTCTATTTATAGGCCGACATATTTTAATAATTTTTAAATGTTAGTTTGATTTTAAATAGTGCCATGTTTTGGGAACAGTTTTAGTGTGGAGCTGAATACAATGTCTATCAAGAAGGTTTATGATTCGGAACTGAGTATTGCTGTGGGGTTGTTTTTGTGTTAATATAATTTTTAACACATATCTAAATTAGGGTTAGTCACAAAAAGAATAATTATGATTTTTATCAGAGCAAAGTTTTAACTAAATTAATAAAAATATGCATTTTTTTGTAGCATCTAGCGTAAGAGGATTTAGCTTATTTATCAGCACAGTGTTTATTTCCATGACAGCCCATTGGCGTCAAAAGCATGTTGCTTATTTCGTCTCCCGTTGGCCGCAATAAGCACTACATTATTAAACAGTTCAAAAGTTATGAGGTTTTAAACTTTTGATTTTGTTTGACTTCTGGTTTGGAAACACTAAATGGTGCCATGTTTGATGGGCTATACCTGTACAGGTATATGACACAAACACAATCCTTTGAAATCAACACAAACACATGTACACAGAGAACAGACTCAATTTTCAAACCTAAAAATAAGTACATCATTTTAATCAATTGCAATTAAATTGGTTTTCTCACTTTTTGATAAAATTAAAAAGGTAAGAAAAAAACAAATTGTGTACATTTGAAAAAAATCTCCCATAATTAACTGTACGAAAAGCATATATCATGATATATTATTATATCAAAATTATAGAATCATGTAGGCTACTGTTTGCCTATAACTAATATAACGTACATATGAAACATGTTAAATCTGAGAAAAATACGTCTTTTTACTTTCTCGTATATACGAAGTATAGAGAAAGTCTTGTAATCGTGCAAAAAAAAAAAAAT